CCATTTGTAGATGATTTAACCATATTTACTATAACATACTATAACTATATGTTCTTATCAAAAATGATTTTCCATAGCTACATTAAATTACCAGATGGTATCTGATTGGCTGTGCAAAACTGGGCTGATTTGGGGCCTGCGTCTGGGGCCTATGGCTACAGCCCAGGACCCAGGATATCGCAAAAGGCCTCCCCTGCGAATGGCCAGTGTGGACCAGGGCTACGCGAATCGCGTAGATTTCCCTTCATCCCTTTCGTTGGAGCCCAATGGACACATTAGCGCATCGTGTCATTGTCATCCACTGAGCATACGCAGTGGGTTGGCCCCAAGCTCCCAGCTTCTGAGACCCAAACTCCACGCGCGAAGCGCGCTTCTCAGAAGGCACTAGACAATTTGCCTCACACCTGGCCGATGGTGTGCAGAATGTCCAGGTTTTGGTATGCTTGGACGCTCTGTGGGTAAGGCGGACAGGCAGGAAAAGCAGGCAAGTGAGACGTCATCATCTGTCTGGACAGGCTGTCTGAGCTTGTCTCTGAAAGAACCACGTCTATTTTGCTTAGCACAACAATCAAACAAATGCAGTGCATGCAGCATGCAGTACATTAGAAACTAATAGAAACACGTTTCCACATCCAAATCCTGTAGTTGGGACAAAATATACTTACATTACCCTCTTGGTAATTCAACATAACTATGGAAAATTGCAAATTTATAGATGATTTAACCATATATTTATTATAACTATATTTTCCTGTCAAAAATGATTTGCCATAGTTACATAAAATTATCAGATGGTATCGGGTTGGCTGTGCAAAACTGGGCTGATTTGGGGCCTGGGTCTGGGGCCGATGGCTACAGCCCAGGACCCAGGATATCGCAAAAGGCCTCCCCTGCGAATGGCCAGTGTGGACCAGGGCCACGCGATTCGCGTAGGTTTCCCTTCATCCCTTTCGTTGGAGCCCAATGGACACACTAGCGCATCGTGTCATTGTCATCCACTGAGCATACGCAGTGGGTTGGCCCCAAGCTCCCAGCTTCTGAGACGCGCGAAGTTCGCTTCTCAAAAGGCACTGGACCATTTGCCTCACACCTGGCCAATGGTGTGCAGAATGTCCAGGTGTTAGTATGCTTGGACGCTCTGTGGGTAAGGCGGACAGGCAGGAAAAGCAGGCAAGTGAGACGTCATCTGTCTGGACAGGCTGTCTGAGCTTGTCTCTGAAAGAACCACGTCTATTTTGCTTCACACAACAATCAAACAAATGCAGTGCATGCAGCATGCAGTACAGTAGAAACTAATAGAAACACGTTTCCACATCCGAATCCTGTAGCTGAGACAAAATATACTTACATTACCCTCTTGGTAATTCAACATAACTATGGAAATTTGCCAATTTATAGATGATTTAACCATATTTATTATAACTAGATTCTTCTGTCAAAAATGATTTGCCATAGCTACATAAAATTACCAAATGGTATCTGGTTGGCTGTGCAAAACTGGGCTGATTTGGGACCTGGGTCTGGGGCCTGTGGCTACAGCCCAGGACCCAAGATATCGCAAAAGGCCTCCCCTGCGAATGGCCAGTGTGGACCAGGGCCACGCGATTCGCGTAGGTTTCCCTTCATCCCTTTCGTTGGAGCCCAATGGACACATTAGCGCATCGTGTCATTGTCATCCACTGAGCATACGCAGTGGGTTGGCCCCAAGCTCCCAGCTTCTGAGACCCAAACTCCACGCGCAAAGCGCGCTTCTCAGAAGGCACTGGACCATTTGCCTCACACCTGGCCAATGGTGTGCAGAATGTCCAGGTGTTACAGTAGTATGCTTGGACGCTCTGTGGGTAAGGCGGACAGGCAGGAAAAGCAGGCAAGTGAGACGTCATCATCTGTCTGGACAGGCTGTCTGAGCTTGTCTCTGAAAGAACCACGTCTATTTTGCTTCACAAAACAATCAAACAAATGCAGTGCATGCAGCATGCAGTACAGTAGAAACTATTAGAAACAGGTTTCCACATCCAAATCCTATAGTTGAAACAAAATATACTTATACAATCTTATACATTACCCTCTTGGTAATTCAACAAAACTATGGAAAATTACCCATTTGTAGATGATTTAACCATATTTACTATAACTATATGTTCTTATCAAAAATGATTTTCCATAGCTACATTAAATTACCAGATGGTATCTGATTGGCTGTGCAAAACTGGGCTGATTTGGGGCCTGGGTCTGGGGCCTATGGCTACAGCCCAGGACCCAGGATATCACAAAAGGCCTCCCCTGCGAATGGCCAGTGTGGACCAGGGCCACGCGAATCGCGTAGGTTTCCCTTCATCCCTTTCGTTGGAGCCCAATGGACACATTAGCGCATCGTGTCATTGTCATCCACTGAGCATACGCAGTGGGTTGGCCCCAAGCTCCCAGCTTCTGAGACCCAAACTCCACGCGCAAAGCGCGCTTCTCAGAAGGCACTGGACCATTTGCCTCACACCTGGCCAATGGTGTGCAGAATGTCCAGGTGTTACAGTAGTATGCTTGGACGCTCTGTGGGTAAGGCGGACGGGCAGGAAAAGCAGGCAGGTGAGACGTCATCATCTGTCTGGACAGGCTGTCTGAGCTTGTCTCTGGAAGAACCACGTCTATTTTGCTTCACACAACAATCAAACAAATGCAGTGCATGCAGCATGCGGTACAGTAGAAACTAATAGAAACACGTTCGCTGCAACACCTAGGTTTGCCCGCGGCCAGTCCCGCATATCCTTTGACATGCTCAAATCCCTTCGCAGGGTTTAAGTTTTTTACTTTCCAAAACAACAAACACCAAAACCCTAAAACCTCTAAACCTAAACCCTAGATAAAAACGCTAAATCATGAAAACTTAAAGTCAAAATCACTGCGTATAGCCCGTGTTTTCATTGATCCTCTGGTGATAAGTATATCATATTGTTTGGATGTGTTGTTTGAGTGTGGGCGAACCAGGGGGTTGCGGGGAACACGTTTCCACATCCAAATCCTGTAGTTGAAACAAAACAAAATTACATTGCCCTCTTGGTAATTCAACATAACTATGGAAAATTGCCCATTTATAGATGATTTAACCATATTCATTATAACTATATGTTCCTGTCAAAAATGATTTTCCATAGCTACATTAAATTACCAGATGGTATCTGATTGGCTGTGCAAAACTGGGCTGATTTGGGTCCTGGGCTGCAGCCACAGGTCTGGGGCGTGTGGCTACAGCCCAGGACCCAGGATCACCAAAATTTGCTATGCAATATGTTAAACCCAATGGCACGTTATATATCTATACTAATGTGGATTATGTAGATTATCAATACACTATCCATTGTAGTTTATCTATAATTACTGTTAGTAAAGCTGCCATAGTCACCATCCCAGCCATCCCAACTGATTGTATGACCTGCTGGACCTGCTGTTGCTGCTGTTCCTGCTGCTTCCGCTGCCGCTCCCCCTTGACGGGGTCGGCGGATTTGTGACAGTTTCGCTGTGGGTGTTCGATCTGAGAGCAAGAGTTATTTTGCTATTTTTCACATTTCCAACTCGGGGCCGTGCTGAGGTGGTTGCATTGGTCGTTAACCTACTATGCGCGGGATGCAGAAAGCAAGAAGCAGACCTCGAGACGCGTGCACAACAATAGCTGTTGCTAGGTCTTGCAATCCTGCAAGGGCCCTAAAACGGGGTAGTCAATGTTTGTCGCCCTAACTCGGGGCTCGGGTATTTGCTGTAGTTGGTGGAAACAAATCGTTTCAACAGCACATCCACTCCTGCGGCACCTCAAAAGGAGTTGGCTGGGCATGTTGGGCCAAACAAAACGCAATGATTTGCAACGTGAACAGAGTTGACACAGAACTGACACAACCAAGGTTCACAAAGTGAGCTGCACGATGACAAGGATGTTGATCACTGGATAATCATGGATAATCTGTGTATATTTTTTGCTCAGGCCACAACAACCTCCAAAAATTATCTGCGGCTGGTGCGCCCTGTGCACAACTGTGGAAGATCAAACGAAACCGACCTGATGCAAGAGAGCTGGTGAAGTGCTGAAGGCTTTGTCCATTTGTGGCATGTTTTGCTTTGAAACAGGCAATGTTGACATTAGTTGACATCAGTTGGCATTACTTGGCATTCTTGACATCGTTCTGGAATCCAAGGCTTCCTTCCCGCGGCCCGCCGCGGCTGCACATTTTCCCCCGACCGACCAAGTCGTCGGAACCCCTAAAACAGCCATCCTTGAAATCAAGACTCACCGAAAATGGTGGTTGATGAGGGTATCTGGCCTTCAAATCACGAAACCAGACTCACTAGTAATGAAAACAAAGCGGATAAAAATAAATGGTGTTTCAGACTCTTGAAACAGAAGTTGATACAGGTTTTGCTGGTTGGTGTCTTAAAAGACATCAACCCCTTGGAAAGTCACCCAAACATTTCTAAACTCAGACAACCTGACAACCTAGAAAGGAGTTCTTTTAAAGCAAAGCATTCCAACATTATAGCCCCTCTTTCGCGATTTCAAGATGTTGTATGGCTACACATACACATATATAAATATAATGTGTATATATATATATATATCATGTATCTATCCTTTCACCCACCTAAACAACCAAGAAATACCCCACTTAAGCGCTTGAAATATCTTGAAATATCAGGCCGTCATCCCTCATATTCACCTTGGGCTGCACTCCCCGGGTCATCTACCAGCTTGACAGCAAGCTGGACAGTTGGCAGGGCCAAATTTCATCCATTCTCCAACCAACAAAACAACAAACAATTCAGCTCCAAAGGTCCGAAAAATTAGTTTTTCTCAGCATTTTCCAGTTGTTCTTGCAATATCTTCCAAGATCTTCCAAGTTTCACCAGTCGGCACCAGATCTTCGTCATAGTCTTCGATTTTCACCACATATTACATGGATTCCCCATGGGTTTCCAGCAGTTTTCCCCCGTTCTTCCACCGTGCGAACCGCCGCTGTTCACGGTTCCGGCGCCGGCGCTTGCCGCGCCAGCAGCTGCCGCAGCTCTGCGGTGGAGGCCTCCGACGCAGCGAGGCGCTGCTCGATGGACTCCAGGAGATGCGTCAGGACGTCCATCTCGGTGACCTGATTTCAACGGTGGATGGTACAGTTATGGCCATTTTATGGTACTTTGATGTGGTTTACCTGGTGACTGGTGGATGGTACCCTCTGGTTATGTCAAAATAGCTATTGAAAATGGCCATAGAAATAGTGGATTTACCCATTAAAAATGAGTGGATTTTCCATAGCTATGTTAAATTACCAGGATGGTACCAGGAACTTTTAAGCAACGAAAATTCATGGTGAGTTTTGTCAGCAAGATAAATATGGTGATTTTTAAGCATACTTAGCTAAGTTGGTTTCGATGGTAGGTATATATATAATATATATATAATTAATGGAGGTTCTAACCACCGGAAATCAACAGAAATGGGATAATTATGGTGATCATAGATAATCATGGGGGATAACACTATAGGGTTTCATGGGATAATGGGGTAGAACTGGATTACCAACCATAGCTAGGTTGGTACAATATGGGTGGGTCTATTTCTAGAAAATTGTGGTCACAAAGCAAGAAAAATAAGATTAATTATGATTAATTATAAGATATGGTGAGTTAACCAACGAAAAATGGTGATTGAACAAAGAGAAATTGTCATTGAACCAAGAAAAATTGTTATTCAACCATACTTAGCTAAGTTGGCATATATAACTATAGGTGAATTCTATGGTTTAGTTTATGGTATGCCTAGAGTTTTTATGGATGTTGATGGTATATCGGTATATCTATAAATAGAAGGATTTCACCAACAGAAGCCCCATACTTAGCTAAGTTGGCATATGGTCTATGATGGTTTATGGTAGGTACGGTATATCTCTATTATTCAGAAATGCATTGGGTTTATAAACAAAATATAATCCAATAAAATCCAACAAACATCACTGGGGGGGGACACCACCTTCTAAGAATCTGCTTGAAATATCTTGAGCCATCAAACATGGTGATTTTTCATGGATCTTCACAGGGAGTTAACTACTGTGAAAAAATGTTAACGATCATGTAAAACTTCCTTAACCATCAAATATCAAGGAAACATTGGTAATTTAGCCATCAAGAACGATGATTTAGCCATCATGACTACTAGAAGTTTAAGCTTGTTGATGGTAATCAGTGTAGGTTGTTCCTTCTTTAGGGGCTGGGCACTTTCAATGATGAACAGTATGGGCATTCTACAACCGGGATCACCAAAACCACTGTAATTTAATTGAAAACGGACATGACAACAACTAAGGACAATCCACCAGTTGAAGATCTGGTTCCCACTAAAAAAACATCCATTTAGTTCAGGGGTTTTCCAGCAAATCACTTTTGATGACAGAAACCGTAAACAATATAATTATTAAACAATCAAATCACGGTATATCATGGTGGTGCCATCTTCAGGAATCTCTAAAAACACATAGCGGGGCAACAAAATTTCCCCACACATTCCCCTGCCTGTATATTTTTAGCTAGGCAATATCATTGATTGATTCCCCATTTCTAGATACGCCAACAAAAAAGATGACCCATGTCCACATATTATAGAATTTCTCAAAGCAGGAAAGACATCTCTCTCCATTGTTTTTCCCATTAATATCATACTAATGAAAGAATTGAACAAAATGCGTATAGCGTTGGACGCCCCCGTTTCAGGAACCTCCCACTACTCACAACGCCCCTGGTGGAAAGGTACCATCTTTTCGAGCATCAGAGCAGCCGCTTCCGGAAGATTCTGCTCTTGCAGATCAGACACCTGGTGTTGGCTCCGTGGATGCGTTTTGGGCCATGTTCAAATATGCTACCCCAATCAATGGATGGTTTATATACGGAAAATCCAAAAAAACTGGATGATCTGGGGGTACCCCCATTTTAGGAAACCACCATATGTTTATTGTTCGTAGTTGATTGACCATCCAAGTGTTTGAGTTAACCAACAAACCACAAATCCATGACACTTCTGGTGGCCGAAACAAAGAATCTGCCTAAAAAAACCAAGGCGGAAAGACGTGCAAATGATCAAATATTCGTGCTGTGTGCAAGTCATTGTCTAAGAGAACAGCAACGAGGAAAAATGAACTCCTGTGAAATTTATTGGTATGGCATGGTTTGTGAATTTGGCTTTGATTCAGGAGCTAAAAATATAAGTAGGCAGGATTGGAAATTGTTTGCTCCTTGATCTCTTCCAAACCTGAGCAACTGAACTCCGGAAAATAAATGAAAACAAACACACTTGCTTGATGAAAGCGATCATCTAGAACAAAGGTGGTGTGCCACTCACTTGCTTGACCTTTACGTTGCATCATCCCAGTCTTACTGGCATCCCACTGCATCGCCCAATGGATTCCCAAAAGCACCACTATATAAGGCAACTGAATAAACGAACCCGTTACTGTAACCCAACCCGTTCTTCACCTAAATTGCATATCAATACATCTGAGTCAACTCCGTCATCTTCAGCCCTGTCCCCCAGCCACTTTCAGACTTTCAACAGACCCAGAAAAATCGGCCCCAAGGGCACCTTGCTTTGCAGCACCTGTTCCCCAGCCCACGCCGCTTCGAGCAGTTTCTGCAGCGAGCCCGGTTTCTGCAGCGTCTTCTCGGGCGTCTCGTCACATGCGCCGGGTGCCGCGCCGTCTCGGGGGACGGTGCTTGGGGTCTCTTGACCCCGAGTAGCTGGGTCCAAGGCCTAAGAACAGCAGCTGGCGTCAATCTTGGCTCTCCAAAAAATGGAAGTCAATAGATACCAAGTCAATAAATAATGTTCAACATTTCAATAACTACCCAGTCAATTTCCACTGTATTGTTTTTATTGGGATTCGTTCCCCATCTTAGAATTCATAAACCACCCATTGGGAATGGTAACCATACCTATAACAATGGTGATGACTCGGGGATGGTTTATGGCATTGTTTTACCCACATTAGGCCATACCCTCTGGTAAACTAACATACCTGGTAACCCTCCAGATTGCTTTTTTCTGCTCTGTTTTAAGAAAACGTGTTTTTTTGCCATTTTGAACGCAAAAAGTGCTTTGGAACGGTTTTTTCCAATCCGAACGCTTTTTTACGCTCTAGAGGTGTTTTCCTTGCAAAATGACTAAATCATACCATTTGGCACGATATCTTACGATGGCCTCCAAACTCAAGCTGACTGGCTGTTGTTTGTAGAAAACACCAATATAAAGCTGATGTGTATATATATATATATATGTATAGTCTGTATAGTCTTATAGAGGGAAACAACTGCAGGCTATCAGCTTCGCCAAGCCAGCATGATCTGGGTAAGGTGCCGGTTGAAGGTACGCAATGCCATCAAACGAGGTGATACATGTCTGGTTATGTAGGCAGCATGCGAATCTTTGGAACCAGGGAAAATTTCATCTGACCTTTCTCACGTGATCTAGCAGGATTTGGGATTGTGAGGCTTATACTGCTGAAACAAAAAACCAACCACAGGACTGAGACGTTTGCTTTGCCAACTGAAAAATTATATAATTGCCAATCAAAAGCTATAAATGCATGCACATCCCAGTCAGTAAAACTGATGTAAATTGAAAAGGGATATATGAGTCTCAAAATACCTTCAAAATTATGGTGTAACCTCTAGTAGCCGATATGAGTCTCCAAACAGGTGACCCGTGAATGTTGCATAGCTGAAAAAACCAAGAGAGAGGCAGCGCACTGCGGTAAAATCTTTTCCAGCACGTCAACTGCGGATAGTAAATCTGAAAAGGGTCAATGTTTTGAATCAAGTTTTCCCAGAGTGGTCAAGGTGACTTTGGGGACGGCATGGTTTGGATCTTGAAAAGTCTTTCATTTTACGTAACATTTTGCGTAATGTCGAACGGTTTCGAACGGTTTTCGAACGCTTTTCGAACGCTTTTTGAACGCTTTCGAACGGGTACGCTTTTTTTACGCAATTGGATTTGAACGGTAATTTCCAATCTGAACGCTTTGTTTACGTAATTTTACGCTTTTTTTCAATCCGGTTTTTCCATTTTTTTAGCTTTTCTTGATGTTCTCTTTTTTTTTGGGAAACGCTTAAAAACCTGAAGATTCCTGTTAATGTTCCATTGTGGGTCAAAAAATCCCAGATGACAAAGCCAATATTTGGCAATCCATGGGTGCTCCCGGGTCAACATGCCCCCAATGAAGTTTACAATTTCAGGGTTCCCTGCAGCTGCCTACCTGTCCCTCAAAACCATTTGATCGAATATATGTAGGCAGTGAAATTGTTTCAAAGCATTTTGTTGGTATTTAGGGTATACCTTTCCCCATAACCACTCTGATCAAACTTGATCACAGTCTTGTTGGAAAGCATTGCTTCCATTCCTCCGGGAGCCGGAGGTTGACATTCCCACGAAGGTATTTAATTACCTCTATGAGTTTGGCCTCAGACCAATCAGACCATTCATAATATATATAAATTGAATTTGGGAACAGGACATGTAATTTTGTGCCTTGGTGCGCTATATTATTGTTTCTCAATCCCACATGTTGATGATTACATAGTGTATATGCATGTGTTTGTATGCATGTGCAATTTTCAGGAAACCTCTATGTATTTTTAATATCATATATATATATGTATGTAAATATATACAAACATCTCCCTCTATACAGTTATGTTCACCTGAGATTGGAAATGGTATACCCTAAAGACTCAAGAATAGCCTCGAACGGTAAAAAGTGCTCTAGAGCACTTTTTTCTACACTGTTTGCAAAAAACCAGGTTTTCTGGAAACAGAGTTGTTTTTTCCAATCTAAGGGTTTAGCAGGTATGGAAAATCACCATTTTTAATGGGTAAATCCACTATAAATAGCCATTTTCAATAGCCATTTTGACATAACCAGAGGGTAAACCACATCAAAGTACCATAAAATGGGCATAAATAGCTATGGAAAATCCACCCATTTTTAATGGGTAAATCCACTATTTCCATGGCTTCATCAGCAACCTCTAAAAAGGCACGCCCTCCGCGTTCCGTTCCTTCAGCGTCGCAGCATCCGAGGCTTTCAGCCCAAAGACGCCGAAAAATGCCTGGTTTTCAACGGAAAACATCCGTGAAATACCCTCTGGTTATGTCAAAATAGCTATTGAAAATATGAATTTGCCAATTAAAAATTGTGATTTTCCATAGTTTTTTGTATGTTTACCAGAGGGCAGATGGGGTTGGAGAACATCCATGTCGAAAAAATATGTTTCCTTGCCAAGTTGTTGATGGCTTCGGTGAAACAGTTCCAACGATCCAAATTCTCAAGGTCCTCCAAGCAAATCGGACTACCAGGTTCCACGGACACCCTGCTTCCAATGCAAAAACAAAAGACAATGGGACTGATGAACAGAATTGTGATACAGAATAACAATGTCTAATGCTGAGAATGATGATCATGCTGATCAAACTGATAACTGATAATACTGATATGAATGATAATTGATATACCAGTGACACGAATGACAATAAGAATAGCCTAAGTCCTGGTTGCAATAAGAATAATTCATCCCCACTGGAAGTCCCAACAGCAAACCAAGTGTGGGCTCCATCTAGACACCCACTTGGCTGACTGTCCCATAGATCGTTTGACAACCTGTTGGCAAGCCTTCCAACCAACTTATCCCCTCAATCAGCAAATGGAAAGTTATATTTTGCTACGTGCAGCAACCCAAAAAGTCATAGATAGAACCATTGGACACCTGGAAATCGAGGCAAAATATGGCCAAAGAGCCGCAGTTCTGCTTTCAAAAGGCCATTGATTCAGTGACCAAGGGTCTGGTTGGTGGTGCAATAACCATCTTGAAAAATAGTCAATGGGAGGGATTATCCCATATTATGGAAAATAAAAGCCATGTTCCAAATCACCAGCCAGTTGTCATCTGGTCTTGAATTCACTCAACACGTGTGAAGTGGTCACAGGACAACGGCAACATAGACACTTGGAAGTCGTAGAACCGTTCGAGTTTACAGTCGACAAGTCATCCCTTGCCCCTGATATTCATCTTGGGTCATTTTGGGAATTTCATGTTACGAATGGATCTGTTCATGTTCTTAAATACATCCAATCATGATCAATAATCATCATCATGCGGTATTTACCCATAAACTGCCGTAAAAATCATCCCCATTGTTTCCAGAAATTGCTGTCATTTGGCATTTTTAATACCATGGTTTTCTCCAAGTCACCTCCAGCGTGGGAGACTCCTCCGCGGGTAGGGACCAGTAGAAGACCACCTCCGAGTCGCAGCTCAAGAAGTGCTCCCCTGCCATCGATGGGAAAAAGTCAAGAAATCCCCTGAAGATATGGGATTTCCTGAACACGGGAGCTTTTTTTATGGGTGAAAGATGGTTAAAGGGAACATGTGATTGCAAAATATGGAGAAATATGGGATGTACTCGACAAATATGTGGTTCTTGCTGTGCATTTGTTTGAACCATGGGACCAAAGGGCAAGGTTAGAATGTCATTTCAAGATGAGTGATGGTGAAATGACCTAGCTCCATATCAGCTACCAGCGAAGATTCCCAAGGAAAACGTGTTTTTCGCTTTTTTGGAACTCAGTAGATGTACCACTTAAAGTGATCAATTATAAATCATATATATATATATATATGGCAATGGGAAATCCCTCATAAATGGAGGTTTTACGGGAAAAAACATGAACAATGGACTTTGAATAGCTATAGCTATAGGTTGGATTACCAGAGGGTATCCCGTTTTGATTGCTTGCAAATTTTGCCTTCGACATCCTTCGACAAACTGTCGCATGGAACTTGCTCCCATATTGAAATTGATAACTGCCGTACTTACATGTTCCCACCAATTGTGGCAAGGTTCCAATTTCATCTTGTCAACTTGTGACAACATCTAGTGAAGTCCCATCGTGCCTCACCCCCAAGGCCCCCAAGGCCCCCTTGGGGCCCCTCAGTTTCCAGGTGGCGCAACGCCTGATTCGTCCCAAGAGCAGGAATGGATCGGTCGATCGTGGCCCAGGATGCTGTTTCTCAACTTGCCAGCCCTCAGGTCCTCAGTATAATCCCAGCCACGTTGCTGGGATGATGATGGATGATGGATGGATGATGTAGAAATCATCTCTTAACATATCTCTATAATAGGGTCTCTTATGTTGAGCTTAGTTGCCACATGTTGCCATCTTTCTACTGGTAACTTGACCCACTGGCCGAATGTCCCGAATGTCGCCGAATGGTCCAGGTGCAAAGATCTCCCCAGGGGTCACTGAATAGATTCGTTTGGCCGAAACAACAGCGAGAAACAACTGCCATTATTCCATGAATATTATGACTTTTCAGTGATATGTTTTTATGTGACACATTCCATGATCATCGAAAAAATGGTTCGACTTTCTAGAACTGTCCTTTCATCTTTCTTGCAATTCAGGCCGCATCTCGTCTAGGAAGCTTGACCGTCAAGCGGGTGCCCCCATTGGTTTTTTGGGTACCCCAACATTGCATAGCTTCATCAACCCCATCCATATATAGACCTCCTTTAACCCTACACATAGCTTCTATGACTTGAAATCCCAAATCATAATCTTAGATGCCAAAAAACGGAGGCCTTTTTGGCTGTTGAATATCTATCCGTCTAATCCTATTTGCAGCAATGATTGATGAGCCTTCATTGTGTTATTGTAGCAGCCTCAAAAAATTGGCTGGGGGTTGCTCCAAAGATTCTACATGGATTGGTTTAAGTTAAGGGACAATTTACGGGAAGTCCACATTTCATATGGTTTCTGGCCGGTAAAGATTTTCTCTTAAACCAATCCAATGATCGCAATCTCTCTGAATTAAATCCCAATAAATCACCCTGTTTTCATGGTTAACTCCTATTCTTCATGGAAAATCCTCGTTTTTTTAACCAAAGAACTTCCACCCACCGTTCATCCCAAGGTTCCCACAGCCGCAGTTGTCGATCCGCCGCGCAGGACAAGATCAGGTCCCCACGCGGATGGAGCGCCACCTGCGTGATGGGACTTGAGCCTTGGTGATGCTGAGAGGGTTGTGACATGGGCTGTGAAAAATGACATTTTATAAACATGGTTGATAATGGATGGGAATCATATAACTTTAGATTTATTTTAGATTTCATATGATAGTCACTTATAAGGGTTGGGATATTGATATAACTTTAGATGACTTTAGATCAATGGGAATTAATCAGAGAACTTCGAACTTGGATCCAAGGGGGCCAAGGAGCTGAAATGGCACTGCAACGAGTCTTTGTGGGCAATCAACTAGACAAACTATGATCTATGTTGGTTAATCATACCTGTTTGACTTGCTCTCTTGATGTGTTTTTTTTTCATACTTTAACACCAACTCATAATCTTTAGTCTCGAACATTTGTGCGTTTGCACGTCATTGCACGTGTTTCCTCTTTTTTTTTGGGGGGGGGGTCGGGGGAAGGCTCTTCATTTGAAGAAACCTCATTCCTTCATGCTCCAAGCAACCATGGGCACGGCCGTAGTGCTGCCGTAACTGGAAAGATCCTGGTAGCGGTCATTTGGGGCTATGGTTGGTGGGTTTTCACCACCCTGAAGCATTTTTAATGATGGTTAGTTATGAATATTGAACCAAGGTAACCAAGGTTTCCTCTTGGTTGGTGAATCAAAGCCCCACTAACCATTATAAAAACCATCATTAACCCCATTAACCATTTATATGATGGTTGGGATGTCGATTTTACCCAAAGCATATGGAAAATCAATGGATAATTTATGAATTATGATGGTAACATGATGATTAAGAATGGTGATGAGGTAAACAAAATAAGAACCATCCCCAAAATCACCACTTTTATGGGTTGTATCAAGCATCCCCAAATGGTAGGTTTATCATTGGGTTGCCCACACAGATTTTTGTCAGTCAGCATCATCATGGCTAGGTAGAAAATTGTCCCTGTAATACCCAGTTCTGAGTAGTGATGAACCCTTGCCGGAAAATATATGATATTTCCGAGCGTGAAATGGAGCACATTTTTGAAACGATCCTAACCATGGTGAGGTGATGGCGAGATCATCGTTGATAGTTTGCTAAGTGCCAGAGTTACTTCTTGAGGAAACCATGGGCGGTTTGCTTAGTTCCATCGTGCCTTTGACAAAATCCCACCCTACATGAGACTTCAACAATGAATTGATCCATTATACATTCAATCAGGTTTCTGGGCGACTAGGGGATACCACGGGCAGGAATTATGTCCGAAAACATTGTACAACAATGCTTTTCCCCCAAAAAAGTATGGCCCTTCGGCCATTGTTGGGCATCGAAGATACTTAAACCAAAGGCATCCTTCGCTCAGTTAGACCATTCTGGCAGGCAACTCTAATTCGAAAAATTCTCTGATTCACAATAGTTGGTTCTTCTCGTCAAGTCGTTCAGAACTAGACGTTGGAAGATCGGCCGACCGTATCGGTCTGAAAGGTGGTACTCCAACCTGTTGTACAGACTATTTGAAAGCCATCCAAAATAATTAATCATTTTCACTGGCAATTTTAGGGGGTTGAACTGATAAAAGGATTTACGCTAATGTCAAGTTCGTATTGATAACCCCCCCAGAAGGTCTAGATCCATGAGAAGGTTTTCACCCCCAAATAATGATCAGCAAAACAACAAATTGGATTCATGAGATTTAGTACGAGACAGACGACAGGCTTTGAATTTCTGAATTTCCATTGGTTTTTCAATGGGATTCATGGGATTTACCACCAAAAAAAAGTTTTTTCCGGAAGGGTGCCCATGTTGATTAATAAGGGGCACCAACCCAAAGTAGTATTGCCAACATGTTTTTGGACTGTGGGTGTTGATGAATGGAGGATCAATAACATGAACTTCATATTACCTGCCTCAAAATCAGACATTGCTGGGGGATCCCCGAACTAAATGGGATGTCGTGCTCCCGTCATCCGTCATCCATCCGTCAAGGCACGCACGTCCCAGATATTGATGCTGGAATCCCAGCTGCTGGCTACAGTGATGCTATCACCAAGGCCAAATTTGGTGCCTCAGGCAAGGTCTAGGGTTTTTATGGTAAATGGGTTTAACCTGAAACTGAGGATTCGCTGTCAAAAAAACCAACCAAAACACGTTGCATGTCACGATTTCATACGATTTCACCAGGCAAAATCGGAACTGGTTTGCCCCAGTTTTGTTGGTTGGAACCAGTGGGTTCGAGGCGTTTTTCTGTTGCAACCCAAATGCCAAGACCGGCGACTGCCAGACTTGACACGAAAGAACTTGGTCAAAATAGGATTGGTGGCCAAAAGATGCCAAAAGGACCTATGATGCTGATGATTTCTGATGATTTCTGATGATTTCTGATCAAGGTCCAAAAACCTGTCCTTACATCATTTAGGGTCATTTTAAAACAACACCCTGCAAAAATCGGAGATCTCTCCATCGCCATCCCGGAGGTTCAGAATGGGGCTGAAGGCGAGGTGGCCCAGCCAAAAGGGAGCCGCGTCACGAAGGCAACGCTACATGCCAGAATCTGTGCAAGTTATCATCTGGTAATCAAACATAGCAATGGACATTCAACCGTTTAATAATTTATAGTGGAATTTCCCATTAAAACCTCCATTCATCATGGATTTTCCCCGGATTTGCCACGAAAACCACTGGTGTAATGACCTGACATCACGCTGGGCCAAGCGACAGGTAATGCTTGACGCACTGTCGTAAAAGGTTTGCAGGCAACCTGCTGGTCAAACATCCCAAAAACCTGTCAATTTATCAACAAAAATGTTCCATGAACAATATTGAACCATGGGAGTTAACCATGAAACGTGGTGATTCATTGGGTCATTGGGATTGATTTTGAGACATATTGGGATCGCTTCATTGGTTAACCGGAAACCATGGGTTTTCCCATGAAATATGATTAGGGGATCCTGTACAACTTCCCGTAAACCAATCCATTGACCATCCGGAAAATTAACACAGCTCTTGCAGCCATGGCAGATTCAGTTCGATGATTTACACATTACACATGGCGATTTCCATGGCAAACTGTAAAATGACCAAATGGCATTGACAGCAACAATCATCAATAAAGATCACACATGGGAAACCATCCCCATCAACAATAACATCTTGGACCTTTTTAGTGCATATATATATATATACATATGTGAAGACATGAACATGTTGGTTTTGAAGACATCTTAAAATCGATCATCGTTTTTCTTTTTCATGTACGGTAGGGTCACTTATGTCACTTATCTTCAAAATGCCATGGTTTCCCATCCCTTTAGGGAGAATCTGCTGAAGTTCATATTGGTTACCCTGGGGTAAACTAACATAGATGTGGAAAAGCCATGGTTTCCATATATAGGAACAAATCTACTGTCATGATCGATGTTCAACATCTATGTTCGTTTACATGATGGTATCCCGTTGTATCCCCAGGATTATCACTGTAGTTATAATCCATAACTCTAGATGTTCCAATAGATGATCCTTATAACTTATTGGACTATAACATACTATATAACTCTAACTTGGCAAAGTGGAAAGTTCATGGTTATTCATATGACCTCCATATTAATGACCTTATTCCCCAAACATATCCAATAGAATCCAATAGATGACATCGAATTTCCCCCATGAAAAAGCCATGGGAAAAACTGCTGAGTCGTTCAGCCCCCAGCAGCTCTTCTTCTCCACATCCCACAGCCGCACGGTCTGGTCGTCCCCTCCCGACATGATGCGGCTGGCAGAGGGGGAGAGTGACCTGGCGCCACCATGGGGGAAACATACAAAAAAGCTATGGAAAATGGCCATAGAAAAAGTGGATTTACCCATTAAACATGGGTGGATCTTTCCAGTTCGCTATGTTAAATTATCAGAGGGTAAGTGATACTACTGTCAATTTTTTTAATAACCCTAGGGTTAATATAATGATATGATAATGTCAAGCAATTTCCTAATTCGTATGATATAGTGATTATGGATATTATGGCAAGTGGCCCAGGGAAAATAAATGTGCAAAGCCAGGAATTTTGTTTGAACCCTTTGAACTTAGGTGCATTTATCCAAGATCCCATATCCCCACTAGCATGCCGCAATCCCACCTTCCGTATGTCATCTTGCATGTCATGGAGCATATTCTACCCGCCAAATCCTTAATTTGTGTGGTTCAAAACCCATCTCTTTGGTTGTAAAAACACATAACACATAAAATGGAATTGTTCAGAGAATAGCTTAAAACAGGTGAACACCAATCATTGGACATATATTTGTTTTCTCTCTCTATCTCTCTTTCGCCCTTCATCAGGTCCCCAGTTGATCTTGGAGCAGTCCATGGTCGGTTGCGATCTTATTGTTTCTCCAATTATATCTTTTGACTATGGTGAAATCCCAAATAGATCAAGACCTTACCCAGGAAAATAGCTGCTAGTTGTGAATCCCCACAACTCGGTATTTGATTCCTGATCTCCGACAGTTGGTACTTCAATTCACTTTACCATCCCCATCCGTTAGTTCCGTCAGACCCCTATTGACCCAACCTTGGTGAAGTTGGACAGTTTCCGAGGTTCCAACCCCCTTTTTTCATCTTTCTTCTCCCATGGGATCCATTCGAAGCAAGCTACGCAGCACGCAGCCAGTTGGAATGTCCCAGGTAGGACGCCACGAAGCGTCGCCCAGGGAGCGAGCTGAGCTTCAGCGTCTTATCGTCCGAGGCGGTGAGGAGAAGCTGCTCGTCCAAGGACAGGTCCACGCAACGCACCGGCGAAAAGTGGAGCTTCCTGGCAGATTTGGCAGTGAAACATCTGATATGGGTATGGGTCAATACCTATAGATACATTTTTAGTGGGATGATCCATTTACCAGCTATTTTGGGGTTCACTAGGTACCAGGGTTTTGACACACTGCCATATGACACTTCTTTAAAATAAGAAGGTGTCGAAGAAATGATTGAATAATTATAATAATTGGATGAATTGGATGTGATGTGTTTTTTTTTGGGTTTGGGGGGAGATTGGGAAAGATCTTTTTGATGATAAACCTTGTGGCTGGGTTGTAGATGGTAAGACCTATCTTCTCATCCAATTGATATGAGATTTTGGCGGATGTGAGCCAACCAACTAACTCGGGTCGATGGACAACCACAAATGGAGAATTTCTCATGTGATTGGGGCAATGTTGAGAAAGTTAGACACTCATACTAACGTGAATTGAGCCAACCAAGCCCCAAAACATAACGAACTGCCTGTCCGAAAATATGTTCTTACCCCAAAATGCACGTTCATGCAATTATAGGGAAAAATGGCGGCAAACATGCGGATCAACAATCCATATTTCTTCAAAATTGGGGTATCCATTGGTCCATGAGTCAGATGGCCACCAAGACAGCCATGGCACAGGGTGGCGGGCTTCGCTTTGGACCTCTCCCAGTTTTTCCAGATGGAGACGGTGGAATCCTGGACGGGGTGATGTGTGGATGGCAGACATCCTGCCTTGTGGATGGTTGAAACCCTGTTGAAACCCTGTTGAAACCCTATAAATAATGGATAAACATGGATAAACCAATAAACCACCTATCAACTGGTGCAAGATTTCTTCCATCCACGATATGTCTCCGAAATTTCCCCGAATAATTATGGGGTAAGTGCCAAAAATCCAAGAGCTTCAACGACCTACGGGTTGCCGATATAGCTACTCTAGTTGTTCTAATTTCCAGCAATGTTTGAGCACAAAAAAAGCCGTGGTGAGAATGGCTCACCGTTTTTTACATGTTTTTACCCACAAGCAGCCAATCTCCGCTCACTTACCAACTGGCATCCTGATTTTCTAGAACATCCAGAACCATCATATAAATCATATTTCATAATTAGCCTTTTCCCCATTTTTCAATATCGAAAGAATGGGACAACTTCTGCGAAAGCAGCGCGTTTCAACAGCCACGGAACCATGGAGGAGGAGACCAAGGTCTGCCCCACCGCCTTGATGCAGGTCACATGGCCTGCGTGGCCTCTCCCTGTGCCCAGCCGAACGGGTCTGGGCCGTCCGGGGGAGAGGTTCCATAGCAGCAGGCTGCCTGGCGCGGAGAGGTCGTGGCTATGGATGGATGGGGAAGATGATGGAAGATGGGACCAACATCAAAATGAACTATTTTTGGATGCAAAATTGGACATTGGATGATTTCATGGGGCGCGCAACCAACTTGAGAATCTTCATATGATTTAGGTTTGTCTGGAAATTTGAGACATAATCACCCGATTTATGGCAATTTTAGTGGGGCAGAATGGTGAGCACCCTTTGCTGGCGCAAATCCTCTGCATTGCTGATTCGACTCCGAATCATCTTTTTAAGTCCTATAGCTCAAAGAAAGACATATATCATCATATATCACATACCTCTTTAAAATCTGCATGTTGAATGCTCACATCAGCATTTTCTGAGATCCTCCTGTCACCGAATTTCACTCCTCACTACTAGCAGGCAAGGTGCCATCCTGGCTTCCAGTGGCCTCAGTAACCGGTGACTGCAGCACCAATCATCTGGCATCTGGCCCTGCCTTGGTGAAATACCCTATCATCCCTATCTTTCTTGGTGAAATCCAGTGAAATCCGCAATTTTTTGTGCTTATTTTCTGGTGAAATCACGTGACATCCACCCAAAATCGCCCAACGCCGCTGCCGCTGGGTCACGACCTGCTGCCTCCCAGGCAGCAGACTGCAGGCGGTCAGCCGCCCCTCGGGCGGCCCCTGCAGGCTGCGCAGCAGCACAGGCTCCGCCATGGAGACCGTTTTCGGACGCTGGAGCCAGGCCGAATGGTCCCAGGGCAGTGCTAAAGGTAGGGAATGGATGGGAATGGGAAGATTGATGATTGTGAAAATAGGTATGGATTGGGTCAAATGACCCAATCCCTATAATTATTTTACCACCAGGAATTTCTTTGATTCTTAGAACCACCTAAGAGGATTTTGAATGATTTCATCATCAAATTCTCTGGAATTATTCTTCTGAACCATTGTTCCTATAAATGGATGTCCTGTTTAATTAAAACTTCATACAGGAACCGGGAACCCCATATGTTTTCACCGCAAATTCCGGGGCTCATAGTCATATATAATCATACCGAGTCATATCTGTAAAATGTGCCTTTTTCTGGTTTAACTGGTTTTCCAATTACATATTACGGATATTTACGGTTTGTACAATTGAAGCTAACCCTGGGACGGTCTCAACGAGATGGTTGCACCCTGATGGACTTTCCGGAGACTTTTGAGGTGATGATGATTCAGCCTCCAACGGCCTTCTTGGAAAAAGATGGAAGAAGGACATGTCTGAATTCAAAATGTCTTCGAGTGTCACTGGGAGCCAGCTGTGCCCTAATTCACCATCAAAGTTGTGCTGCACCACTGCACGGCACGTTTTTGTTGTCTGCGCGCGCATGTGCTGTACGAGGTTGCCTCTTGCAGGGCCCTCTGCGGAAAATTTGCCATTGGGTATGGCCAGCTATGTAGCATGGGCGCATCACAGCGCATGTGCATCTGCAATACAGTCAGTTTGCGCATCATCAAAGGTGGACCCTGGAGTTGTTCAATTTTGTTTGCATATGTTTGCAGGTTTAAACAACACCCTTGTCAAATTGAGCATGCACAAGGTTGTAACAATAATACTGAATCCACAAATTGACGCCCTATGGCAGATGATATTGAGATCCATGTGCAGTAACCCTGAAAGATGACAACCTGATTTACCACTGTTTTAGGAACTCAGATCTGACATGTAGCTCATGACATCTCTTGACTTCTACAGCGGACATGGCTCTCTCAACTCAAGCCTGCTAATGCGGTGGCAATTCGGTGGCAAAATCTGGTATGATTTTATACGATGAATGGAAGAGACACAAAATGGAGCCATATTAACCATCAACCAATGGTAAAAAAGGTCAACCACCAACCAGCCATTATTAATCAATGATTAACCACTATTGACCATGGATCTGTAGACTTCAAGCCTGGTTTTGCAATACGATGGAGGTCTTAAGAGTCAACCGGCCAACCTTCCCGGAACTGATGCCACTGGCAACTCCCCAACCCCCAACCACAGCAAAATTCAAAACGCAGATGTTTCACCAAAAAAAACCATGAACCATGGTTAAAATCAGTGATTCTGCGACTTCAACCGTTTTTTTCGAGTGAAACAGCGAAAAAAAACCTGCTGCCCTAGGCGCCCCGTCCTTGGTGGTGGTGCCTGGGTGGCGAGAAGCCAACTGTTGGTTTTTTGTTGCTGTGGTTAGCCGTCAACTGCATTTCTGAATGGGAAAAATGTGGAAATAATCGTAGTAAATGACAATTAATGTCAATTAAATTAATGTAAATGACGTGTTATATATTGTACGTTATATCACCATACTTTAAATTAATGACGAATGTCGACAGCAATCATGTGAACACGCAAAAAAAACCATAAACATAAAATAGCAAGGCTTGGTAGAACAAAAGGGGGCAAACATGACATATTGATGAATTACCATCTGGTTATTTAACATAGCCATGGAAAATCACCATTTTTAATAGGTAAGCCATCTATTTCTATGGGCCATCTATACCATGGCTATGTTAAATAACCAGAGGGTACATCTTTACAGCGATGGAGATAATATAGCGACAGGAACCACAGATTGAATCTGCTCAAATCCTTGAGCCTCCGGACGTGTTTTGGTGCGCATGGTGCACCTAAAAAAAGCCAGTCCCGGCTGAGAAAACCACGTGCTCTCCATTTCATATGGAAAATGGATGAACATGGCCCATTCAGTTCAGTGATTTTACCATGATGTACCTATAAAATAATGGTGATTTTCCGTAGCACACCGTTAAAATATCTGAGAGCACAACCTTTTTTCAAATCTATGATGTGCTGAAACAATTCTAAAACGTAGATCCTCGGTTGATGATGCCAAGCTCAGCTGCTCACCACTCCTCTGCAGCTGTGGGATGAATGCCCACCTTAGATCCACCCACACATTCACCAGTTTTATGGCCACTGAACCATCAACATATGGGTGGTTTTTATTATTGCTGTGCTAACATAATAATTATATAATTGTACCTGTACCATGTGTTATCGTTTGCCAATTGGTTGTTTAATTGGCCAATTAGGGTGACCCCTCTGTTAATCAAGCAAGCAGTGAGAAAGTTGACCAAAATGCACTTGCAAAGGCATGAGTTTTTCCGTCACGCTTAATGAATAACCCTCCGAGATTGAGTCCCTTTTCTCCCAGACATGAACCCATGAACACATAGATATTAAAAAAAATAGATTATTAAAAATAGGTCTCCCAAATAGATAATAACACATAGATATTTATGAACACTATGCCACTCTGCACTCTTCAAGACCCAAAACCATTGGGTAGCAGCTGATTCGTGCCAGCAATCAGGGCACGGTGGCGTCGAAGTCCGCCTTCTTGGCACCTGCCTGCGGCAAAAACAACTCGTTGTTTGCGAAGCTGGCGATGCTTCCAACGTGGACTTGTTTGGCAGCACCCCATGATTACCATATCTATGGTTAATCTCGGTTAATCTATGGTTAATCTATGGTTAATAATGGTTGATATATGGTTCATAGGTGGTACATTTTTTGGAAAAACAATGGAAACAATGATAAAAACGATTCCAGCGTCGCTGCTTTTTGTTTGTCAAAGGGAGTTTCTGCACAAGTCAACAGCTGGAAAGCGACGCCTTCATGGCAATTCCAATGCCCTGCATCATCTCACCTGCTTCAGCTCCCACCTCCGCAGGTACATTGACCCACTGAGAACAAGAATAATCAGTTGAAGGCAAACAAGCTAAGCATCAACCTCCATTGCCAATCTTAGATACTCTGCCAAAAACATGAATTCTTAGATTCTTAGCTGCAGGCTGGTTATAGTATATAGATTTTCCATGACATCCCTATTATACATGCATAGAAAAAACCGATTAAAAATGGTCCAAAGTACCCATCCAGTTGGTTGACCATAAACCATGAACATCAACCTGGGGCCCCAGCCATGTGGCAGCCCACCACCTGGCGTTTCAGGGACAGGATGTGAAGGGGGGGAAGCCAGCCTTGAATCAGAAAATGCCACATAAATATCAGGTTGAACAGAAATTCCTCAAGAAATATGTTACATTATCATTATATTGCAATATGTATATATATAATATATATATTGCAATATATTGTAACACTGTACATGGATGAAAGGGTGATGTCTAAATCAATACGTGCTTCAATGATCTTGATGATGATCATTTACTAGAAAAGACCGAGTGGCGATATGTCATTGCCAGAGCAGCAATCTTCGAGATGATGGTAGAAGAGCATGGCTCAACAAAGACGACAACTATCAGTCGCAGGAAAGCAGGGCAGCTGCAACAGCAAACTGTTTTTTACCACTTCAGCGCATGCCACCAGCGGCCGCGGGTTCTTGCATCTTCGCAAATGCCTCAAATGCACTCTACACACTGAAGTGCTGCCGAACGGAGAAACTACATACACACTGGAAAGCTCAGTAAGCTCCTTGACCATTCAAAACACAACAAACTCAACGAGATCATCAAATACAACCGGAGAAAAAAAAAAGGACAAGTGGAGAACATCCACTCTTCGAGGTTGGCTCCCTTTTGCAGCCCGGAAACGTGGCCATGCATCTTTCGGCACCTACCACAAGATCACTGAGACCGGCGGCAGCTGAGACTCCCACTCTTTTTTTTTGTTCGTTGAGAATTTTCGTGGCCTTCAAATATTCACCCAACATAAATCTCGCTTCCACCACTCCCCCCTGCCCTGAGTATCCATGAGTATCCTAGGTATTCCAATGGGTATCCAATGTGTATCCTGGGTATCCTTTCCCCTGCCTTCCCCGCATAGCTGAAGATCTGCCCCACGTGCTCCGGGCGCAAGGAGGTCATAGATCTCCGCGCCCACCGGCACAGACTGGGCACAGACGTCTCGCTCCAGCCGCTCACCTGGCGCCTGAGCGGTTGACGCCTGAGGGGTTGAGACAAGGGGGTTGCCCCATGGGTGGGGGTTGAGTCGGTAGCGAAGTTGGTTGAAATAAAGTATAAGAGTTAACTATATTAACTATGAATGGTTAAGTATGGTTAACTAATGGTAGATATATCATATAGTTAATGAAGTTTATAAACCAACTTCTTCCTGCCGGAGGGACCAGCTTGTAGAGGGCCAACACCAGCAACATGTACTCCCCACATGCTCGCCAGATTTGAATTATATAGCGGGGGCGGGGTGCTTTTGATACTATGGGAAAGGAATAAGTGCGAAAATTATGAATGGGTAAAGTATGGTAAAGTGTGGTCAAGTGGGACTCATGCTTACTTCACCAGGTATGTCTCATGATCTCAAGTGCATTCATCGGCCAAAATGGTCTCTTAAAGATCTACAATCTCAGGAGCAGTGATGGTTTTCAAGTTTTCAGCCATATCAAGTCAGCTGACACATTCCTAACATATCAAAGTCCCCAGTTTCATGGGTTTCATTAAGTTCCACTCCCACTGAGGTCTCCTCCAATTCTGCTGCAGTCCCCCCATCCTCCACCCCCTGCCGTCAAGCGAAGCGTCATTGCAAAGCCCTCCAGCACATCCAGCAGCCCTGCTGAGAAGCGTTGAACGTGCTCTGCGCAGCGCAGCCTCTTGGACTCAAAAAATGGTCGACCGGAAGCCCTGGTACATCCTCTGGTTACTGGTTTTAACCATCTTGAAAAATATTAGTCAATGGGAAGGATTATCCCATATACTATGGAAAATAAAAAATGTTTGAAACCACCAACCAGTCCTGGTACTGTGTACCCTTAAAGTAGCGACGCCTGGGCATAGTGGTCTTGGCTTCTTCCAGTTTCCAGGTTTCAGAGACTGCGTCGTACCAGACCTGGCTTCATGGCCAGGTCACAAAGAGGTATTTTGCATCAGCCACTGCAACGGAAAAGTTTGGAAAAGTGGCATCCCACTTGGGTGATGCTACTTTTGGACATGCAGCTTGAATAACAATATGAAATCAAGTCTTTGTGTGTTTGCGAGCAAGTACGACTTCTTGAACCAAGCATAATCTGGGATGAGTTTTATATATCAAAACCAAATTTCTCAACTGACCCTCTGGCGCCTGCAACAGGCAGTCCACAAACCGGAAATGATTGCGCTTTCAACCAGCCCCGGTTCCTTTTCCCAAGGACCAATCAATCTGCACGAGGTATTTCCAAGATATGGGGGGTGGCAGCACGCCGTTTCCCCATTGGTTGCTGTTAACCGCTGGGTTTGTTCATTGAAGAAACACAAATCCCATGGTTGATCCGCGCTTCTTCATTACAATTACCATCTTGGGGTATTGTCCATTTTAGGGCAAACCAAAATACATACTGAAACCCGGCATTGGATTGTCCAAAGGAAAAAAACATGTCCCGCAAACTCTCCTGTGATTTTCCTCAACGAAATCCCGCAAATTTCATTGACAGATAGAGAAATCCTCATGTTTGTATGTCGGCAATAGCACATTTATCCCATAGTGACATGTGCCAAGATATCATCAACGACGGCAATGGAAAATCCCACATTCACAAATGATTTTCACATTAAAAACATTAAACTGAAGACTTGTAGGGAGGGGATTTCCGCGCCGTCTTTGATTGCGGGAGGGTGCGCAGTATAAATCATATAAAACATTGTAATGGATAGTATCCCATCAAAAACAAAAACAAACCCCAAATTAGCTCCCACTAAATGCATATTGTCTTGTAAAAACACAATTTGATGCTAAATAGTTAGTACAACCTATTATATATCCCATTAAATCCGCATTGAATCCAATGAATTCTCAATTAAATCGCCTTAAATCAGCATTAGATCACATTCAATCTCCATTCTATCCCACTATATCCCATACTTAGTATCCCTATCTCTATCCGATATCAGCCCTTCACTCGGCTCATTTTAACTCGGCTCAGCCACCCATGTTGGATCCGCCACTTGAAACTCGTGGCTGATGAGGTCGCTGGTCTCTTCCCTTAGAAATCAGCACCAAACATGGAGGTCTGAAAGCCTGTAGCAATTAATAGTGATGTAATGGAATTAATGGAATATGTGCATATACATAAGTATATATATATATATATATATGTGTGTGTGTGTGCTATAGCCATTCTGAAGCAAATAGTTGTTGTTCAAACATATTGCCATTTAAGCGAAAATATTTTGAAATTTCCATATTCTATCTACTCCAGGATGACTATATACATATAATGTCATACATGCATAACTATAATGGGATAACCAACGATAATGCATAAACAATTATATAATGGATCATGGATATTAGTAGGGTAAATAAACATGTGAGATGATGGGCTATAATTAAATGGATATATAACCATAGTTATAGGGGCCCCATATCCCAACTTCTGGGGGTTGTTGCCATGGTTCTGGACATGTTGTTTTTTTGGGGATAGTGACCCTTGACATTTACCATCACTTCAGTGAGGCCGCGCACGTGAGGTCACGAAGAGATTCATCCAGATATTTCATGGGAGATGGGACATAATTATAACATATTAACCATTATTAACCATTATTAACCATTATTAGATATTATAACCAACAATTACTGTAGTGATGTTTGGGGTTTACAGCAATTTCTGCCGCCAAAAGAGTTCATGGTATTACCCCATAACATGTTGCCATCTTAAACATGGGGAGTTAACCGCAGTTAACATCGTCCGGCAGTTGATTTTTTGCTGCCAATGTTGCAGCCAATTTTTGTCCGGTCCAATTGAGCAAATGATGACTGGTTGGTGGTATACCTACCCCTCTGAAAAATATGAAAGTCAGTTGGGATGATTATTCCCAATATATGGAAAAATAAAAAATGTTCCAAACCACCAACCAGATGATAAAGCCCTTGGATTTTAGGCGTATCATGAGACCAAGACGCATTGGTTTTGGGGGGAAACGTCCGGTGATTTTCCAGGCTCAACGCGCCAAGTGTCTGATAGGCCGAAATGAACTGGGCAATGTCACCAGAAAATCCCGCATCATCTTCCAGCACCCAAACGAACTTTGGTTTGGATGCCAGGGAGCCTCGTGAGGCTTCCAAGGTCCAAGGACTCGATGGAAATGTGGAAATGGGCCAACAGTGCAAAGATTATCCTTTTCTGATTTCATCTGTAATTAGATGCAAGTAGATAGATATATGATGATATATGGTATATCTATAAATATCTATCTATTTATTTATCTATGTATCTATGTATCTATGTATCTATGTATCTATGTATCTATCTATCTATGTATCTATCTATCTATCTATCTATCTATCTATCTATCTATATACATTACATTACATTTAGATGCGATTAGGTATCTATCTATCCATCCACATCTTATCCAAACCAAGGTGTGTCAGCACCATCTAGCAGCTAAGACAGGGATCAATAGGGCACCTTCAATCCCTTCATGTTTCCAAACCAAATCATCCCATCCGATATGAGTTACACGGCCTAAATTTCATTGCATTGTCCCCAATATGTGGTTCAATCTCCCATAAAATCATATCAGCCATATCAAACCAGAACGAACCACATCAAACCATATTTAATCACATCAAAATATAGCCATAATAAAGCCATATGAAACAATATCATAACCATATATTATAGCCATATCACCTAGGCAAATTACAATAATTCACTAACCTGAAACATGCGGCCATTTTGGGATGATTCCTCTTATTAACCATGATTCCAGTGAGGGAGAACAGTGAGGTCGTTATAATTTGCCCAGATATCATAACCATATTAAAACCATATCATCTGGGTAACCCAACCATTTTGGGGATGCCCCATTTATGGAAACCCCCATTGTCAAACCATGTCATAGCCATTATAACCATATTATAGCCATATTAAAGCCATATTAAAACCATATTATAGCCATATTAAAGCCATATTAAAACCATATTATAACCATATTATAACCATATTATAACCATATTAATCACATTATAACCATATCACAAAACATATCAAAACCATATCAAAACCCATGTTATAACCATATTAAACCATGGTTTCCCCTGGGTTCCCGTGCGCCACCATAGCAGCAAGGCTTCGACGTGGAAGCACCAGGCCAAACTCTTGGGTCCGGGCAGCTGGAAACAGTCGCGCACCTCGGTGGGATGTTAATGGGATATGTTCATGGTATATTTAAAGATGAAAATGGTGTATGATGATTGGTATATTAATGGTGTATTAATGGTGTGTGTATATATATATACATGTAAAATCATGTTAATATGGAAAATATATGGAAACAGAAACATATATGTATAATGATTGAATTACATGGGGGTTTCCTAAAATGGAGGCTCCCCAATAGCTGGATGCTTTCTTTCATGGAAAATCCTTTATTAACATGGGATGATTTGGGGGTACCACCTTTTTAGGAAACCCCCATATTTACAAATGGTATATTAATGGTAGACCAATGGATCTTTTTAATACCATTAGATACCATTAGTGATCATAAATACTGCCTATAGAAGGAAATCATGAGAAATCAACTATCACTAGTATGATCTGGGTGAATAGTGGTCCATTTATCGATTTACCGAATAAACCCGCGACTTTCCAGAGGAAACTGTGAGCATTTCTGGAGGCTACCCAAATACTTGATCATATGATTGGAACATTCTTAGTAGCTCCTTGCGCCCCATTTAATGGGGAATATGTTGAATGCCAATATCTCCACACGGTCCCTTCCTAACCACTGGATATGCAAACTTCGGATTTTAGGAGATCTGCCATTCCCTAGGGCCGTGGTGCCTAGGCACATCTTGTCGATCAGGCAGTGCAGCATGAATCTCTGAAAGGACAGGGAAATCTGTGATCATGGCCTCTTGGCCATACCAAAAGACCTCAAAGGTGGCCGGGGTTGGAGCCAGAAAATGGTCCTCTTCAATCGGGCTGAGTCATCGTAGAAAAATACGCAAGTCAAGTTGTCAAGTGTAAAAGATCATGCAAGAAATGCAAGGATCTCAGATTAATTATACCAACACTCGTTTCATAAGTCTCCCTTTAACTTACTGCTCAATAGGATTTTCCTAGAATTGTTTGTCAATCTCGAATATGAATGAATATGTTGCAATTGGTTAGTTAGTATAACGACGTAAATAATCGTAAATATAATATGGTTGGTGGTTTCAATCCCTCTGAAAAATATTAGTCAGTTGGGATCATTAATCCCAATATATGGAAAGTCATAAAAAATGTTCCAAACCACCAACCAGATCATCAATGAACCAAGGGTTTTGAACTCTGCTTAATTGGTGCCTCCGAAAAAAATTCGCAGCTGAGTCCTGCCAAGACCACTGGAAGCCTAGCGGCTGAGAAGGGGATGTCGTCGCCCATCCCACGTGCTATGCCTGGGATTGCTGTGGCAACCCATACTTTGAAGCAGGGATGAGATGCCCATTCGATTGCATCATGATTCTACATGTAAGAACGCACATAGATTAAAACATTGAAGCAACATGAAACAGCCAATTACTGTACCAAGCCGAATTAGTCCCAAGCAGCATCTAAGTAGCCAAGCATCTGCAAACAGAAATGCGGAACCATGTTGCACCTATACGGGTTTGTCTCAAAGGGTGGGGGTTCTTTACGGCCATTTAACTGTGGAATTCCCCTGTGGATTCTGGAAACAGTGGCGCTTGGAGGACGCCCATCCCACCCCCTTCCACTCAGACACGGGAAAGTCTCGCTCGAAGGCTGCTTTGGCCTCCGGATCTCGGACGAGAATGGAGAGGGACTTGGGGAAGGTGGTAAACTCCATAGGTAAACTCGCATCTTTTCCAGAAAATGATGCAGTAACTCATCATTTTTCCCAGATTCATGGAAACAACAAGTGCTATTTTCTGAGGTGTGTTTTATTATTGTGGGTAAAGGATCCAATTCAAACAGGCCGTTGATCTTTGTTGCTGGTATCTGGTTCCATCCCTTTGATTTGCTGAATTCACATCAAGGTACTCAAAATTGTCAAACACCCTGGATAATTCGCAAAAAAACATGGCGCACCCGTCCTTCAGCATCAAACGTCTCATCCGCTAAGATCCACAATGGTATGGCCTGAGGAGGGAACGGGAGTGAACATGGCAATGCTTCAGGAGCTTTCAACCAAATCACCGTCCCCCCAGTCTCTCAGCAGGGTCTATGCTACCGGTAGTTGGGATCTCTCTGCATCGCCGTCCCTTGTCCCCGGGCTCCAGCGGCGAGCAGGCTGCGATGGCAACACAAACTGAATCACCAAGCAAACAGGTAGTAAACCCCAATGGCACCCCCTATCATAAATAATTCATCATGCATCTGGAAACCTATGTGACGCAGCATGATGTAGCATGATTTAGCACCATTCTATCTATACGTCGTGCGTTTTATTCCCATGCTACGAGTAACATCGATGAACCCCAGTATGATTAATTCCATTAATCTACCAGTATTCTCCATTACTGAGATGGGAGGTTGGATTAACATCATATTCAATTCTCATTTGTATCACCATGGCAATCTTAACACTCTCTCCATCACCTTTTTTTTTAATGGATCACACCTTCAACTGGCAAATCTAGATTAGCAATTATACCCCAATATTTGACAATTATTTGTGATAACAATACCCCAACATATTCTTACCACCTCATTTCCTGCAGGTTACGAAGTGTATCTCAAGATCCTCCGGTCCAGGTCGAATGGCCCCTGATTTTTCCAGGAAGTCCTCCAACCCCTGACTCATGGGGTCATTATGTTAGTTGGGTGGATAGTAACCCCTATGTTATCCCCACTAAATCAGGTAGTAAAACTGTTTCAATCCTTAGTTGATACATTACATTCCCGATTCTCCGCCCAATTGACGTCTATTCTGACGTTTTATCTGGGATTCTATCTGACATATATATATTCTGACATTCTATCTGACATATATTCTGACGTTCTATCTGGCATTTTACCTGACCTCAACATTAATCAAACTATATCCAGCTAATGCATGTCAATGCGGCAAACCCAATGTAAACCATCCCCAATGACTTGAAATCAACTCCATGGTGGTGGGTCCCACACTTGTCCAGTTACCATCTATCCACGATAGTCAAAACCTCATACACTGCAATGGTACTGTAAGATAAACCCCATTACAATCCCATTTGTAGGTGACTTACCCTTAAAAAGATGTTGTTATTCCATACTATCCGTAGCTATGCTAAATTACCAGAGGGTAACTATATCTAGCATCATTGGATTAAAATTCCATTTATCACCATGTTAAATAGGTAAGTCATCCAGTTTCGTTAGTTTGACCCCACTCAACTAGATAGTTTCACTACCTGATTCTCCAGAGTTCTCCACCTGATAGATGAACCATTCACATGATGAACCATTATGGAAACCATTAATCAACATCAATCACCATTAGTCGCCATGAGTTGTTACTTCTATGAATTAATTATAATTAATCATCATTGGTCACCACTACTAGCCATTCTTAACTAGATTCTTAACCATGTTTAACCTTTATCATCATTAACCACTAGCAAGCCTTGATTTTCCTTAACATACCTACCATCTGGTTATTTCACATAGCCATGGAAAATGGCCCATAGAAATAGATGATTTTCCCACTCAAACCTCCATTTATTTCAGGGATTTTCCAGTTCGCTATGTTAGTCATAACCAGGTGGTGCAATGTGGGGCCCCCTAGTTATAAGTTGGTTTATAAGCCTCAATAACTATAGTTATTTGCGTACCATAAACCATAGTTATTGGAGTTATGTGCACCAACTTAGCTATCGAACGGGGGCCCCACTTTGTAGTTCCAGTTCCATCATTAACCATCATTAACCATCATTAACCAGTTCCCTATCTCCAGTTCCATCCAGTTCCCTATCCAGTTCCATCCAGGCCAAGTCGCCCAGTGCTTCAGTGCCTGCGCCCAGCTGAGATGTCGCTGTAGCATCGCATCGCTGCTGCCGCCGTGGAGCCGCACGGCCACGGCGACCCCGGCGACGCCGGCGACACCGGCGACCGGACCTGGCGTAAGGCGCCCCCGTAAGGGGCTCCATGGATTGCCCGGGGGAAACTGTCCCATAGATGTGGAAAATCAAGAAGGTTGTATATGGTTGTATCCATTTGTGGACGATTCTCCTTCGAAAACCATGGGTTTTCCACATCTAACATATCTGAGATAATGGGTTTTTTTCCATGGCATCTTCATGGGATTTCACCATCATGGGAATATCATTGGAACATCATATGGAATATAATTGAATCAATTTGATATGATATATATATATATATATTGATGCATGGGTAATGGTCATCCATCCCATGCCATGGGAATCCATTAATCGCTTGAGAACCATCCCCCAAGAACTGGGTGAATTAGCCAAGTTTCGAGCATGGCCACATAGGCATCAGAATGACACATAGTGGAATGAGATGGGATTATGATTGGTTTGTCCCATTTTCAAGACAAAATTTAGCAACCCATATACCCATTATAAATCACAAGGGGGTTACATGTTTCTTCTTGAACATGGACTATCAACAGCAAACGATTGCTCCCCAGGGATGGTCAAATGAGAATAGCCACGTGAGATGTGCGACCTGGCTGGTCTGATTCGGATTGTATTACTGGACTGAAATACTAACAATGAAGAGAAAGGGTGATGATGATGTTCCCAATCTGCTGCTGGTGGTGTCACTTCAAGGTTTGGCCTGTTGAACCAACAATCATGTCGTCTGAGCTGGGCAACAGAGGAAAATCACCAGCTTTCACCAAGAGTAAAGCACGTTGATCCATTTCGCAATGTCTTTATCCCCATGTTCAACGGGAGCAAGCCATCTACAATCATTGCCAATCTTAGATACCTTGCAAAAAAAAATGTTTGCTGATTAGATCTGGTGAGTAGATAAGATATTCCTATTTGCAGTACATTCAAGGATTAGCTATTACTGGTTGGTGGTAAGCTACCCCTCTGAAAAATATGAGTTCGTCAGTTGGGATGATGAAATTCCCAACATATGGAAAGTCATAAAATTCCATGGTTCCAGTCACCACCAACCAGCCATTCATATTCCATTGCCAGAGGGTTAATCACCATTAAATCACCATTAATCACCAAAATATCACCATAAAATCACCATAAAACCACCATAAAATCACCATAAAATCACCATAAAATCACCATAAAATCACCATTAAACGACCCATCCAAGGTTCACCTAGGAACGCCGAACGCCGGACATGTCGCCATGTCACCTCCGATAGGAGGCGCTTCAGCTGGCGGGCTGGCTCCACATCTCCTGGGGGATGATCCCACTGGACATGGCGACATGGCCGGGAAAAAAACCAGGACAGGCACACGCTCCCAGAGGCAAATCATACTATGTCTATATATATATATATATATGTATGTATGTATATGTGTGTGTGTGTGTATCATGTATATACTGTCAATATATATGTATATATCCAATTATTTTCCAACAGCAGCACTTCTAGGGGATTTTCCCCATTGACATGTTTAATTACCGAAGGGCAAGATAGACCAAGTTAACCACGGTTGGTTCATCGGGATTCTCCTCATGGATTGTGATAATCCTCCATTGGACAGAACAAAAAACCTCAACTAGTCCTCAATCCATCATCATTTATCAGATTTATCATTTACGTCCACTTCTATCCCCATCATTCCCTATATCTAGATACTTAAAACATCTTAAAACATTTAAAAAACATCTGAAGACCCATAGCTGGATCTGCAATTAGCACTCAACAACCAGGCAATCAACCAGGTATGGTATGGGTCGCAAGATCTAACCAGGTACTCAACCCATACCAGGTATGGGGACTCTTCAATCAATGATCTTCATTAATCAACATGGCTATTCAACCATTATAATCAACCATATATTCATCCATATAATCCTGGTTGGTGGTTTCAACCCCTCTGAAAAATATTAGTCAGTTGGGATTACTATTTCCAAATATATGGAAAAATGAAATTCATGTTCCAAACCACCATTCATCATCATTCATCCACATAATCAGAATTATGGGTCATCCATATATTCATTCCATATATTCATTCCATATATTCAACCATAATAATCAACAACCAGGGCTTTTGAACACGCCTGCGACTTCCCCAGGCCCCGCGGCGCGCCGCAGAGAGTTCAACGCTGCCATGGCGCATGGACGCGAGGACGATGGGCCATAAGGAATGATAGGGGAGCCCTTCAGAGCAACGAAATGTATAAAAGATTGATCATCTAACATGAATATGTGTATTATATGTAATATATATGTAATATAATTACACACACACACATATATATATATACATGTATGTATATATGTGTATGTTTATGTGTATACCTAGGGCCTAGATCCTCCAAGTAGCTTTAAATAATGGTGAGCAATATTAAACTTATGGGATAAAACACCAATTTGCATGCGTACTTGGAAAGTCTAGGTATGGTATAGGTAGCTATGGGCCCCAGAGGGGGCGGTGAGCATATATATATAATATATATATATATGCTAGTTGGATGTATACAACCTTATCTAACTTTATTATGAGGTTTAATGCCAACATATGTGCAAGAGTGTCAAGCCTTTGAGGCTGTTCTGGCACAAGCGTTCTGTAGATGTGGCTCCAAAACGGCAAACAAAAATGAAGCCACGCCATGCAGGTGAAGCTTCTAGGGTTCACCCTGGTTCTGCGAAGTTATGGTGCGAGTGGCTTAATTGCCAGGGCCTTGCAACAAAGGTGGTCAACCACATGAGGTTGCTCCTGCAATTATATTTAATCACATTTGATCTGACAAGGTATGTTGAAGATTTTTGAAGTAGATTGATAATATGATATAGGCATAATTGTGTAAATGTTGATATGGCTACCGGTAATATCCTGTAACATAACATGATATCGATGGTCAGACCTTTGTTGCTACACCTTCCAACCCCCTTGGTAGTGGCCTTCCCAGCGTCTTCAAAGCCTTCGCTGACGCAGATGAGTTTCATCATCATCTTCTCCTCAAAATCTCTGCAGTTCATAGCTCTCAGCCCCAGTTGAGGGTTATTGCCCCAAGAAATTGAGCTTAGACTTGAATTTCTGGGGCCATAAATGCAGTGGGAAGCTGTGGGAACATGGGGGAAAGGAAGATCCTAATCTGAAAATCCGTGGGCATTGGGCAATTACCTGCGCATAGCACCTGCATTCTCCCTTGAAACTCTGCTGCCATGAGAGCACCGTGAACCAACCCCCATTTCGCCACATCGCGCCACTTCACATCCCATTTTTCCAGCCACATCGCGACCGAGCATTTCATCGCTTGGTGGCGGTAACAGCCGAGTAGATCCGGGGGCCGCCCTCAGGTTGGCTGGTGGCCAGCATGCCCATGCTGGTCATGGGGCAGCCACCACCACCTGTGCGGGATTTCTGCGGAAATTTCAGTGGGAGACGTCAAAACCCGTTTGAAACGTCACTTGTTACCCTCTGGTAAACTAACGTAGCTATGGAAAATCACCATTTTTAATGGGACAATCCACTATAAATGGCCATTTTCAATAGCTATGCTAGTTTACCAGAGGGTATTTTTTTTGGTTGGTTGATTAGGTTTGTTTCCAGCTCTTGGATTCTGATGATAACCACCAATAGGTTGGGTAGTAACCGTAGTAGAATACGAGTACCTTATGTAATAATCAGCCGACATGGATTTTTGAACATTGCTCATCTGGTTGTGTCTTGTTCTCATTTAAAAAGATCAAGAATTCCCAGCACCATCCAACTCAATGTCAACCAAATCTGGCAATGGAAGATCACATAATATCCACCCATTCTTAGGATGACAATCATCCATCAATGGGAACCCTACACAGACGGCTAGACTACCAGTTGTAACCCCATTTCTCTGAATAAGTTAAATCAGAGTCATTTCCGGGTGAAATGTAGAAAACTGCTGGGAAAAGTGGATGCTCACCCCCCCAAACAATACGGCTTTGTGTGAACGTTGGGTAATTACCCCTAAATCCACTGGCTCATCATCATTTCCCCTATAGTAGAAGTACATGTTTATGAGTTTTTTTGGGATAAGAGTACGGTATACCAAAATTAGATTACTCCCATCATCTCCCATCCCCTAAAAAACACCATAATTCTATGGTCCCGAAGATGTTACCCCGTAGGCCATGTTTTCTGGAGGGTGCTCAAGGGCTGAATGGGTAACTCAATGAATGGGCGAAATCCCCAAGGCCATAAACTAATACGCCATCCCTTAGAGGGGGCACACCCAATTTCATGAACCTCAAACTTGAGGATGGTGACTCTGGCATTGGGTCCCCATTCATCTTGGTGGCATTGAGTGGATCCCACCCCACCTCGGTGGCTGCTAAACTTCGGAGCTCCAGGTGCCTGTTGGCGTTGGAGCTCCTCCTCTTCGCTGTAGAGATGCGAAGGCCGCAGGGGAAACCCCGTGTGCCTACTCTACGGCTGCAACGGGCGAATTGTTGATCGCTTTCCGGTGAAAATGGGGACGGAACGACGGGAAGATTGGAGCAATGGGTGGACTTGAGACCATCATTTTCACCAGCGAAAAGTGGTTTTCCTATAGGTTGATATAAACCTCTCCTTTCAACCAATCGTCCCGCCAAAAATGCTAACAGGTGTAGTTGTGTCGTGATGATGGACCAAGCAACTTCGGGGTCAGAAGGCCCCATTCATCTAGAGAATCCGGCATTCTGGAGCAGATTCTTGGATCCCCTGCATCCTTGACTGCAACATTGACAATTAACACAATAAATAAAGCATATAGAACACCTATATGACTACAGACTATCAATGACTAATTATATGTAAGTGTTCAAGGGCGCACACCAGGCTGAACTCACCTGCAAAAGGGTGTGGGGAGAACAGAATCCCAAACCTCCACCGAGACGCTCGTCTAAACAGGGGTTCTGGCGCTGGTTCTCTTCGGCCAAAGCTCCTTGGGTAAGGTCCGTCAAACAATGTCCAAGCTCCCATGTTTTGGTTATAACTCACCATCATTTCCCAAGATCAATCAAAATAAATCAAGATAGATCAAGATAATTCAAAAAAAACAAAGAATTATCAAAGATCAAGATAATTCAAAAAAAACAAAGAATGATCAAAGATCAAGCTAATTCAAAAAAACAAAGAATGATCAAAGATCAAGATAATTCAAAAAAACAAAGATCCCATTTCTGTTGTCATGTCGCTCTCCAAGTCGTCCCAAGGCACCGTAGGTGTTCATCCCAGGAGGTTCCGGCAGCTTGGAGCCAGGCTTCGCACCGAAGGACAGCAACAGTTTCTCGATGGTTGGGTGCCTCCAAACTGAACTGAGGGGTGACTTGGGGCCGAAGCACCAAAAAAAACGCTGAATTGTAGTGATATGTTTGATATTGCTTGATGTACTTGTTAAGATTGAACATTGTTGACATGAGATGACATGAGGGTGTGTTTCACATCTTAGTTTCTTTTTGATCACCAAGGCCACCAAGGCCACCTGGGTTGCTTCTGTTTCTGCGGATCTCGTTCACAAGGAAGTGTCTCCTTAGGTCAACGGAGTCAGGTTTGGAAGCTGGCTGGAACCGAATTTCGCGTATCTGTGATGTCAAAGTCCAATTATGTATATAATACCCTCTGGTAATAAAACGTGGTAATGGAAAATCACATAAACAGAGGATTTTCCACTGTCACGTCTGATCACCGGAGGGTAATCAGTCATAGACCCAGGTTGATGAAGGCAATCAACACTTTCCACGGTCAACGCAGTGGATTTCATCAGCACCAGCAGAAGCTCAGAAATATCCAAGTCCAAATGACATGTCAAAATATGTCAAAACTGATTTCATGCTTGTTGATTAATAAACATCTAGGAAATTCTAGGAATTATTCTAAGATCCAAAATGCTCCAGAGTCACCCCCTTCTCACCCCTTTCTATCCCCTCCATCTTTCGCAACCGAGCGGCACCGGCACGTGCAATGTCCAGCGCCGTCCAAAAGCTGTAGGGACCACTGGAGGTACAACAGCAGCAGACCTCGTTGACGTCGGCCGAGGCCTCCAAGAGGACCTGCGTCACGGCAGTGGTATCTCAAGCCAATGGAGTTTCTACATGGAGTTTTGGTTGGTGGTTTCAACCCCCTCTGAAAAATATTACCCTCTATTGCCCTTTCTTGTAGGGGCAGTGAGGCAGCTGCGCGACCCCAACACCCACCCTCTTTGCTGCGTCTAGCCGATCCTTGCGGCTCGAAGGGCCGCAACATCCCGGGTGGTAGTGGCTTGGTGCCCCAATTGGGTGAAAACCTGTTTGTCCACGAAGTCGATCATCTCCGTGGACCACCTCAACTTAAAGGACGTCTCCAGGGCTTTTAGCCGCTGGATCAACAGATCTCCAAGTTCCCCCAGTTGTCCTTGTAGCAGCATGTCCAGGGCTCTCCCTAGTGTGAGGAGCTCCCGATGATTCCGAACTCCTATGGAGTTGGCATATATTCTGGCAAACATTCTGGCACTTTATCTGGCATACCTTCTGGCATTCTATCTGACGTTCTATCTGGTATACCTTCTGGCATTCTATCTGGCATATCTTCTGGCATATCTTCTGGCATTCTATCTGGCATATCTTCTGGCATTCTATCTGGCATAGCTTCTGGCATTCTACCTGGCATATTTTCTGGCATATGTTCTGGCATATCTTCTGGCACTCTATCTGGCATATCTTCTGGCATATCTTCTGACATTCCATCTGGCGTTCTATCTGGCAAATCGTCTGGCATATGTTCTGGCAAACATTCTGGCACTTTATCTGGCATACCTTCTGGATCCTTCTGGCATTCTATCTGACATTCTATCTGGCATACCTTCTGGCATTCTATCTGGCATATCTTCTAACATTCTATCTGGCATACCTTCTGGCATTCTATCTGACATTCTATCTGGCATACCTTCTGGCATTCTATCTGGCATATCTTCTAACATTCTATCTGGCATATCTTCTGGCATTCTATCTGGCAAATCTTCTGGCGTTCTCTCTGGCGTACCTTCTGGCATTCTATCTGGCATATCTTCTAACATTTTATCTGGCATATCTTCTGGCATTCTATCTGGCATATCTCATGTCATTTTATCCGGCATACCTTCTGGCATTCTATCTGACATTCTATCTGGTATATCTTCTGGCATTCTATCTGGCATATCTCATGTCATTTTATCCGGCATATCTCCTGGCATTCTATCTGACATTCTATATGGCATATCTTCTGGCATTCTATCTGGCCGTTGAGGTCCAGCGGTGCAGACTGAGCTGGGAAGGTCTGGTTTGGTCCCAGGTTGGGGTCCAGCGGTGCACACTGAGCTGGGAAGTTGGCAAAGAGCTTGGCGAAGAGTTGGCAAGGCGGAAGTTGAGGTGGAAGTTGATGCAGACATGGTCGAGGAGAAGCTGGAGGAGGAGGCAGAGGAGGAGAAGGCAGAGGACGAGGAGGAGGAGGACGAGGACGAGGAGGACAGCTAGCCGAGGAGAACAACTCTGATAAAATCTAACAACCCTCACCTGGCAGGTGGGGAATAAGAAATGTTCCAAACCACCTAAAAGATTGTTGAGCAGCTGAACAAGTTGTTCTTGGGATGTTTATCTTGGCAATTAACCCAACACACACACAGGCACACATACACACACACACGTAATCATCAGGGTTCGTTTTCACTATTTCCATCCGTTAGGTTGTAGGTTCCTGACATCCTCCCACAAATTAACTAATTATGATATACTTTGATTGGGTGTACATCGCCATCATTGGCTACTTCGATATGCTTTTCAAAGAGCAGTGTTTGTTGTAAGTCGGGCATCTGTTCTTGGCCCATAATTCCGTATCATATATAGATAGTCCCTTCCTCCTACTAATACTAAACATCTCCCAATACTAAAAACATGCGTCCATCTCCAATTTCGGAAAATTTCAGATTGGCCAATTTGATTTTTAATTGATTCCCTTTAGAAAACAATTTAAAAATCAACCTACCATTTGTGGGTTTTCCATCCTAATATTAAAAACTAGTTCACCCCGGGGTGTTTCTTATTAGGGTCCGTCCGATTTTTTTTTTTTTTTCATATTTTTTTAATTTAGTATTACGGGGAAGCTTCGAAATCCAATTTTTGGCAATATGTTAATTGCGCTATATAAAGAAATTTAATTGATTTTGAGATCGGAAAAAATAGTTATTATTAAGGGTTTTAATTTAATATTAGGGGGAAGCTTCGAAATCCAATTTTAGGCAATATTTTAATCGCGTTATATAAAGAAATTTAATTAATTTTGAGATCGGAAAAAATAGTTTTTACTATTGAGGGTTTTAATTTAATATTAGGGGGAAGCTTCGAAATCCATTTTTAGGCAATATTTTAATTGCGTTATATAAAGAAATTTAATTAATTTTGAGATCGGAAAAAATAGTTATTTTTATTAAGGGTTTTAATTTAATATTAGGGGGAAGCTTCGAAATCCAATTTTAGGCAATATTTTAATCGCGTTATATAAAGAAATTTAATTAATTTTGAGATTGGAAAAAATAATTATTCTTATTAAGGGTTTTAATTTAATATTAGGGGGAAGCTTCGAAATCCAGTTTTTGGCAATATTTTAATCGCGTTATATAAAGAAATTTAATTAATTTTGAGATCGGAAAAATAGTTATTCTTATTAAGGGTTTAATTTTTATTAATAGGGTTCCCTAATAATAAATGCCACCCTAATACTAAAAACTACCTGCCGTGTTTATTATTAGGGGGGTGCGTTTAGTATTAGGAGGAAAGGATTACTCGAATTACTCTCTCTTCGTGGTAAATCATAGTGACATCCCATATTTTTGTTGAAGCCTTACCTAGGTTCCCAAGACATCCCCATTTCCAGCCTTCACCGCATCTTCCTTGCCGGCAAAGGTCGCAGCTGTCAATGGCGTCCAGTCCGTTGAAAACATTCGGAAGGAGCCTCTGGCAGGGGTGGAACTTGGGGGGGTGACCATCTTGAAGTTTGATACAGTAGATTACTGGCATGAGCCAGTCATTCTCAAAATGCTTGACATGTACTACGTGCGCTTCTTCTTGCCGCATTGTCCTAGGGTTTGGTTCTATTGAAAAGTGGAACCTCTCGGACTTATATCGTATAAGCAATGCTTCCGCTTTTCACGCTAGTTTCAGGTAGGATACCCCGTGGGTTGGCCAGATTTTAGCCATAGGTCACGCCCCTGACCCTACTTATACTTCAATGATTTTCCCAATGATTTTCCAAAATGTTCCCAATATCATGTCCCATCATTTTTCCCATGATGTATTCCATGTTCCCCATGATTTCCCCAACTTTTCCCCAATTGTCCCATGAAATTTTCCAAGATGTCGCCATCACCAGCCCCGACCCCGGTCGACCTTGGTAGAGCCTGAGCTCCGCGGCCAGGAGGTTAGGATTTGCGCCAGGCAGCAGTCGTTGCAGCTCTTCCACGGAGCCCCGCTCGGCAGCTTGGACCAAGGCAAGGCCGCCTGGAAACTGGGGGTGATTCGAGTGATCATCATCCAGATAATTTTTCAGATAATCATAATATACCATCATTGTCCAGTTATATTGGGGGAAACTTGGGTATACGTGTCCATATTAGATTGGATAGCTTTGACAAACTGGATGTATATGATATTTATTATAATTGGGTTTTAATTGGGTTGGGATTTCAAATTGAGAGTTCAACTCAGGATCATGATGGATCATCATCATCATTGGGATTTCAAATCAGATTTATGACTGAGAATATATGACTATATATGACTATATATGACTATATATCAATTCTTGCCAATGGAAACTAACATGTCGAAATTCCGTCTGTGGCTGGAAAGGAATTTAAAGGAATGTGTTCTTGCCTTGAAGCAAATGGCAAACCATATCAAAATATCTCAAACCATGGTGGCAGAGTTTCAATGCAGGGTAACATGGTAGCGTGGATCAAAGCACACATCCACTCACAGGATATCGGATACTCATGTAAAACATGTTTTCTCTGGAAAAAACATGATCATGTTCTATGCCCAATCTTTGGTACTCAAAACAAATAATTGGTTAGTATATGTATATATATATGATGTGGATATCCTAGTATAAATCGCAATGTGTAATACATGTGTTAAAAACAGAACGGCGTCAAACCCCACCTGTACGTGGCGCGTCTTGCACCGCTGGCGCTGCTTTATAGCCTCGCAGTGTGTGGCCCAGTCCGTGGTATTATATATATCTTACCAACAGTCTGGTTTCATCCCATGAAGCATGCATATATATATAATATATCGGGGTAAATCAAATAATATTTCACTAACCTGAATCTTGCGGCCATAAAAGGGGATGATTTCCCTTATAAACCATGATTCCAGTGAGGGAGAACAGTGAGGTCGTTATAATTTACCCAGAATATGTATATATATATAGGATTATATATGTACATAGTCTCTAGAAGGATGTCCCGAATCAAAAAAAACAACCCAAGCCGGTCAAGCCGCCATGTCCATGTCGATGCAACAACTGGATACAGTAGGGGGTTCTATTTCATCACATCATTGAAAATGTGTCCTGTTTTGGGTGCTGTGACGATCTCCCAACACTTCCAAGCAACAGCAAGGCTGAAACTTGGGGATTTGGTGTCATTTGGTTGACTTTGACATGTAGACCTCAGGAAAGAAATACCAAGAATGAATCAAACGTTTAAAAAAAAAACAAATATAATCTCCGAACATCAAAAAAAAATAGGATTCATCCGGCCATATAGTGTATATTCCTAGTGAATTTCATGGGTTTACCGGTTTACCAAGGTTGACTGGACCATCCAGCCATCTCCAGTGGCCCTACCTTCCACCTTTGTAGATGACTCTTCCAGCTCCCAGGGGAGCTTGCCATCGGGCGAGACCACGTAGGCAGCGTCCATGGCGTGAGTCCAAAAGATGGGGTGGGGAACCTTGGGAAAACATGTTTACTATGCAGTAAATTAACGTAGACCCTGGCAGATGGGGGTTGGAAGACTAGTTTCAAATAGAAATTCATTGTTTTCAGGGTCTATGTTAATTTACCAGAGGGTAAAACATTGAGATGGGATAAAAGATGGCATGAGTCGAACAAAACCATTGCAAATCATTGGGAGGTTGCAGACCTCAGCTGCTTTTTCGACCAATGATTTGTGATTAAACATCTAAAAGATGTGGCTTATCATCTCTATGATGCCAAATATATCTAAAAGATGTAGCTTCCCCTTGGGAAAACATGTTTAATATTGTTTGAGCTTTAGATCTTCCAAGTTCTCTCTCTCCATCGCCATCTTCCAAGTTGTTGGAGTCTTTTTGTTCCGGGCTGAAGGTGCCCCCAAGGGCAGCAATCCCAACATTTCCTTGCCCAAAAACTTAAAGAGTTTGTTGACATCTTGGTGCACGCAGAGAAACAACACATGCTCACATCCTTATAACAGTTATAATAATTAACAGTTAGCATTAACATGAAAACATTTAGAAATTGACAACTGCTTGGTGTTAAACAGTTAACTTATAACATTTCGACTATGCTAACTGTTCACATCTGGCATGCTAAAAAATTACCCACCATGTAGTCTTCAACAAGTACATGCATGGTTAAGCCCTCTATGAATGAAGCAACCAATCTGGCTGAAGTGTAAGGATGATTCCCCCACTCGTGAGGTCATGATGAAATTCATCCACATTCAGTCCCTATGGAAAATCATGTTAATACCGTATGAATACCATGAAGTCCCTATTAAGTCCCTATTAAGCGCCATTAAGTTCCTGTTAAGTTCCTACTACCCTCTGGTAAACGTTTACATAACTATGGAAAATCCACCCATTTTCTAGCTGGGTAAATCCACTATAAATCACCATGTTCAATAGCTTTTTGTTTGTTTACCAGAGGGTAAATCATTATATATATATATATAATTACTCATTGTATCCCGATGATGTCCCCAGATCAGCAATCTTCACCGTCTCCTCCTCTCCACGTCCTGTGGGCATGGTGTGCTTCATGGGCTTGAACCTGGCGATCAGCGTTCCCCCAACGTGAACGTTGAATATTAAAACCGACATCAAACATCAGTCAGATATCATTGGATATATTTGGAATTTTTGGATACATATCCGGAAGTCGTTCGGTGTCAAGAAAAATTGAAGGAGTGAGTTCACATTCACCAAGACCATCCAATATATTCCAATATGATATAGCTGTAGCTGTGCTTGGCGAAAGTCTGGTGGTCAAACTCTCACAGGTTCCTTTTCGGCAATCAATGGAGGTGACGGTTGTTTTTTCAAGGAGCATCCCCTGTCCGGCTTTTTGTACATGCAATCGGGTGAGGGGAAAGCATGATTAGAAACAAATGCAAACACATACCAAAAAAAAAACATCACTACAAATAGATCCGGCCAGTGACTAGACTTTCCTATCCAACACGGTTGATGCTTGTTTTCGTGATTTTGAGATACAAGAAATATGACTCATGCAAGCCTTTCGGACCACGCCATGAGCAAGTCAGGAGTCAGGAGACCAAACTTTGAACTCAAGATGAATCCACAGTAAAGCATACTCGAGCCTCACTGCATCTAGACAAGGGGGGTGCATGGGTCATACTTTTTTTCATTGCCTCTCTATCCAATCCACTGATTTTTTTCCAGGATCATCCCACTTAGGAACTGGTCTGGTGATGGCAAGTCCCCCAAGTGGTTTATCCCATACCCATAGGATCCATGGTGCTGGTAGAAAAATGCTAACATGACTGGGGTATATTGATGGAATTCATGTTACCATATATAGCAGCACCATGGATCCTATGGGATATCAAGTACTCGTCATAGTCAGTCACCTGTCGACGTCACCTGTCGACGTCACCTTGCGTGCTGTGGCCCGCACTTGGTGACGTACACGTCCACGCTACCATACTTCTCGGCCGCTGCTTCCTGTCGTCCAATCAAATTCTTTACTATTTTTCAGCTGATGGGAAAACGGGTAGAACCCTAGCTGCGAGGTCCTTCTTTTAGTTTTTTTCAGCCCCTATCCTTTCGAATGTTGGGTCACTTATGATTTCTGGATCTATGATGGTTTTTATGATGGTGTTTGTGGTGGTTTACGATGATTTCTTCTAACCCTTTCCTCCGAATGTACAACACCCCCCCAGTTACGAAACCCCAGTGGAATGGTTTGTAGGATATAAATGATAAGTCATAACTTGAGATCATTATATCCTACACATATACACCAGCTACATTTATACCATCAAACATGGGAAGGGAGAATCCGTCATTGCTTCAATCCAAATGATGTGTCCCCAGGCCAGCATCTCACGTATGGTGTTTGGCGCGTCAAACTATAAAGGATGTTGGGCTATTCACCTACCTATTACTAAGATGTTGGGGTATGTAGGGGGCCTTTTCGGACAAGAAAAGTGTAAGAAAAGGATGCATTGATTGTTCCCCTTAAATGGACATTCCTGTGACATCCCCTATTTCAATTGTTTTCTTGTTCTATTGAGTTGTGGACCAGTCAAATGACACCACTACCTCCACTACCATTTTGGGCAAGGAAGCGCAATTAACGTCCACAAAATTATATAAGTTATATTATACTTGTATAAATAACCAAAAAAACGATTTAGAAAAATGTAAGTCAACGTCAATCCCCAAAAAAAAAACGCGATCAACTCATAAAAGTACAAAAAGTAATACTAAGTATTTACATGTCTAAACAAGTGTCTAAACAGTTAAAACATGTCTAAAATACGGTGATTTCGGCGTGATTTAGGCCTCGGTGAGGCCGCAGGTCCCGCAGGGAGGTTGGCTGAAGATGGCACCTCACAGCAGGTTTTTTTACGGGACCGTCTAACTGACTGGTCGAAGATGTTAAAAGTGTGTTTCATGGATTATAACTGATTGGTTAGTGGTGGTTAATGGTGGTTAATGGTGGTAAATGGGTTATAACTGATTGGTTAATAATGATTAATGGTGGTTAATGATGATTAATGATGATTCATGGTGGTTAATGGTAGTTAATGATGGTAAATGATGATTGTTTCAAGCAAAAACAAAGAGGAGAACATATTACTGGTTGGTGGTTGAGCCCTACCCCTCTGAAAAATGATGGAGTGAAAGTCAGTTGGGATGACGATTTCCCAATATATGGGAAATAAACAATGTTTAAAGCCATCAACCCGATGAAGACTATTGAAGACTCCATCAGTGGGTTGATATAGTTCGTTTGACAAACTTTATAAAACACCCATGGGGTTTCACACATGTTTTTCTCAGTTGAAGTGTGCCATTATGCCACCCCCATGCGAGCCCAGGTACTTGGAACATTGTCGTAGTCTGGCTTGCCTGGTTCCTGGACGCGGGCATGGCACAATGCCGATGGGCCTGGGAGCCACCTGGTGAGAACATCAGATGCTGGAGATAATGATGTATCTAAAATAATTGTTCTCAAAGGTAAGAATGACCGCACCAAAGGAGTGGATTTTGAGAATTTTGATGAATCTTGTCAGGAAAGAAAGCGTTGAAAAAACACATATGACATGTGGTTAAACTTCAAAGGAATGCCTTCCGAAAGCCTGTTTGAAGTTGACAGCCCGGGTGGGGAAAATAGTACTCCCCAAAGTCTTACACTGTTACACTGGAAACAATCCCAGGCGTCATGTAATTTCCTGCCGAAAAGTCTTTGGTGAACATGCCGTCCTACATCGTTTCACAAAAGCATTACAAAAACCATTCAAACAAAGAGAATAGCATCGTGAATATATATATATATATACGTAGAATATGATCTTGAACATCAAAAACATACAGTACTGGATGTGGCCCCATCCAAAAAAAAAACAGTAAAAGAGCTAAAAACATCTAAAAACTATATCCAAAGTCTTTCTGACAAATATGAAAGCATCTATATAATTTAACGGAGTTGTGGAAAATCACAAGTTGTTAATATCTTTAATATGTAAAACATAAATCATCTATAAATGGGCCATGGCTTCGATAGACTTGTTTAAAAAACAAAACAGCGCGCAAATGGTAGATCCCATTAAATCACAATAAATTCCATATTCAATCCTCTCGAATCATAATAATCCCATTCAATTCTATGAAATCATAGTGAATCAATAAATTCCATTGAATCATCATCACGACATCAATGCTACTAATGTTGGTAAAGCAACAGTAAACCATCTCCAAAATCACCATAAATAGATGGGTTGCATAATGTTGTATAAACCATCCCCTGAATGGTAGGTTCATGATTGCTTTAATGTGGGTAAAACAATAATAAGCCACCCATGACTGAGAATGGTAGCCATACCACCTATAAACATGGTGATGACTGGGAGATGGTTTATGACATTGTTTTACCCACATTACCAGCATCAAACTTACATCTAAATGGTAGTTTTATTATTGCTTCATCTAAACTTATATAAACCAGTGTTTACTTTCATTGTCTAATTTTTCATTTACTTGACAATTTCCATAGGTTTTTGTGTTTGGCAATGGTATTTTCAACCAACTGGAAATATAAACAATTGTTTCCAGTTTGTTATTTTCCCAATGGTATTTTCATATTCAACAATGGTTTATTATAATTATTCACTGGAAACAATTGTTTATAAATGAAGCTTTATGGTCGACCTAAAGCTGCCCCATTTGGGCCCGCCCTCCTCGGAGAACATCGTCTTGGCCATGGCCATCCCCTCCATCAACGCCACGGGGGTCAGCTGGATTCGGTCCGTGACGTCCTCAAAACGTCGCGTTCGCCGTCCATGGCGGTACTACAACCTGTTTATAAACTACAGTGGATGGAAGAAATCCTGCACCAGTTGAAAAGTTGATAGATAGTTTATCCCATTATTTATCGGGTTTCAACCATCCAAGGCGGTGCAGGATTTCTTCCATCCATAGGGAAAAGTATTGCACCATTGGGATATAATATATATATACATATATATACATATACACATATATATATATATATTGCGTGTGTGTGTGTTAAAGACTATATATATAATATTATATAATTATATATAATATAAATATAATGTATAGTACAGTAAAGTCGTGAAATCTTCCCTAGTTTAATGGGGATTACTTTTTCTATCTTTCTGGTTGGCTATATAGGTATCATGAAATGAATTCGCATATCATCTATTGATGATAATATGCAATCTATACAAGAATAATTAATTAATGTGAACATTATGAAACTATGTATAACATTTCCTTGGGAAAAGGCATTGGTTTTCGCTATCTATGTTAGTTTGTTTCTTTCCGATGGTATTTCTTATCTAATTGGCATCACCTAGATGGCGGTATATAAAGACAGTGGTATTCACATGACGCTGGTGATATTAGCCCTAAAAGTGGGGGCATGACCAAGAATCATGAACTAACCAAATGGATCCAAATGAATCCAAATGGGTCGATACCCTTTCATAACCCTTAAACGATCTTGAAGGTGTATTTTCAAAGATGGAGAAGCTTCATTGATGGCTGCATAAACATGAGCCAAACAAAACCTTGGTTTCGGCACCACTGCGAGGCCGGCTGCTTTCCCAATAGCAGTCATGTCATAGCATCCCCAAATCAACAGTTTGACCCTGAGAATTGCCTAGTTTTAGAGGAGGGGTACGTGTTTGATTAGTCTGCCGTTTCCTGCGAAACATATCCAGATCATCCAGATCGGCCTGGTATCCCCGAGCCCCCCAGCACCAATGGCGAAGATGCTCTCGACATTGGTGCGGCTGAATTCATCCACGATAATCTGTGCGGGCCGACTGCTGAAAATCTGAAATCAGAAGCTTCACCAAGTCACCCAAAGTCATTCACCAAAGTCACCAAAGTCACCAGGTCATCCCCTGGGACTTTTGCCTCCTGTGGGATGAAATCCCAGCCTTGCCGCTCTTCGGATCCGTCTTGACGCCCACGTCTTCGAGGCCCAAGTCCTACGGAGCCATTCGGAGTGGATCAAAACATGGTGTTTTTCCAATGGGAACCACAAATGGCTGGGTTTTCTTAGTATCAAACCATCATAAACAATCAACTTGTTGGGGGTTAATGAGCATGTCTGAGCCATAGCGTTGTAAAATTGGGGTGGGAAACTTGGCTGTAGCTGTTGTTTTTCTTGGAAATGGGAGAAGTATCCTCAGTTTTCATCAACTGTCCAGTGTCAAAAGGTCAAAAGAACCGCAGTTGAAAATGAGATTATCAGCTAAAAGACAAAGAATTGGAAGGTATCTGGTTACAAAGTCTGGTCATGAACCAGCTGCAGATGCAATATTCGATATAGATAGTTTGGGGGTTATAACCAACCAGGGCTGTCCAAAAAATTGACCATGCACGGTAATTTGCACAGTTGGAATCTGAACGAGTTCTCCAAGAACAACTGCTGGGATCGCCCACTGGGAATTTGGAATAACTGATGTAGCCAAGGAAGTTTCGGAAGGCAGCCGGGTTGTAAACAAAAATGAACGAATAATATGATTGCGATTTCTTTCACCAGCAAGGACTTAAAGAAGCTTTCTGGGCTGCACGCGGTCCCATTCCAAATAGATTAAAGGCTATTTGGACTGTGATTCTCCTATCAACATTGCTTAGCAATCTCTGAGTTCCAAAGGTTTCAAAGGGGGTTAGACCTGCAACCGTGAAAACATTGAAACCAACATCAAAAAATACCACTTTACACTGAAACCAACTGAGATTTCTTTCCTAACGACTCGGCCATGGGGGTCCTGACTGCTGGGCTTTCGTCCGGTGGCGAACATGACCTTTGGCACCGGGAAATCCCCTGGAGGTTGAAGTCGGAAAATTGATATATACCATCCCCCTTACAATATGAAGCTGAACCCGGGTGGCGCTGATCTATAAGAAATTCCTTATGAAATGGGAGTTCCATGGGGATGCCTGTTTATAAAATTGAAATTATCGAAGCTACAGCAATATAGGGAACTCCAATTAGCATTTTATAAAAGAAAAAACAGCTTATAATATGACAGACCATAACCCAAAAAATCCATCAAAATCACTTACAGATCATAAATTAAAAATTTACTTTTTTTTGACCCAGTCCAATTCCATTTTATCCATTTTATAAGGTGGGAGTGGAAATTCCACAAATTTATACTGAAAGTGACAAACTGTCATTCTATAAGGCACCTCCAGGGCATCTTATAAGAACAAAAACTGTGCAAACCTGATTTCTCCGGGATTCTCCGGGTATGTTTTTCTCAGTTTGTGCTGGTAAAACCTGTAATTATCAAAAGAAATTGTTTATATTGCAAAGATTTGCAAAGTAAGTGTACCTTATATAAATGATATTCAATAAAAACAAACATGAATCTTGCAAAGCTTTTGAAACATTATAAAATGGCAAACCACAATTCAGGTCACTGCTACAACAATAGGCATTATACAATGGCAAACTCAAACATTATAGAATGGTAGATCACTGTTCTTTATAATTATTATGAAAAGAAAATCAAAGTTTGACAGTTTTGTTTTTCAAATTTAATTTAATAGTTTCTTATAAAATGAGTGTTCTAAGATGTTATCTCTTAATCTAATAGTTTCTTATAAAATGACTGTCCGCCGCTCCATTACAAGCATTCCGAACCATCATTTTATAAGGCAATGTTCTCCAAATGTTATTAAATGACAACTAGAGTCTATACATGACAAATTTAAAAGGAACCATGATTTTATAACCCCAACACGTAGTAAACAAAATATACAAATATATTTTTTTATGCTGACCCCGCCCCCCATGTTTTCTCCTGAGAAGATGCAGGGGTTTGCCATTTTATAACCCCCAGAAAAAGGGGCGGTTTATAAAATGACAGTTCCAAGAAGGAATTTCCCAAACCCGTTATTGCAAACGACTCCAATTTATAAGCAATTGTCATTTTTGATTTTTAACCTGGGGGCAAGATAATTTTTTATAAATCGCCCCCCCGGGTGGCACTGATCTATAAGGGATATTGTAAGGGGGATTATATACCCATATGCGAACCATGGTGCTGGTATATTTACCTACATTTGAAGGTGATTTTTAGATATGTTTAAGGCAAATGTTGGATTCCATATTCCAGCACCATGGTTCGCAATATGGGTATATATCAATGGTGGCTTTCCGTGAGGGTACTATTTTTTCAATCCTCATTTGGACAACATGGGCCATGAAGAGTTACATCGGCTGCATAATCACCATGCCCCAATCAGGAATGATGACATCTTCGCAAAAGCGCCCTTTCAGAATTTCACTTCACTGGAGGCAGCCAGAAACTCCGAGACGGCATCCGAACGAATTTTCCGCGCTCATGGTCGGAGGGATGGATGGGACGCGCTTTGTCATCCCGTTGCTCTACCAATGCTAAGTTCTCACCTGGGCGGACTGGAAGCAACAACCGAATTTCAGGAGGCTTCCTCGTGTGTTGACATCGTGTTATAGATACATATATGTTACATACATATTCATATATATATATATGTGTGTGTGTGTACATTTATAAGTTACTAGTATGTATTTAAAGATAAATAAATTATGTATATATTTACACAAAAAATATCATAAAATTAATTACAAATTTATTTACGGTATATACAAATGCACACAGCTAGAGAGAAGAGAAAGAGAGGGCAACAACGACACTTATTTCCTCTACATAAATAAACTTCATAGTTGTGGGCACTGGCCACCCTTATCAAGCTGTCAAAACGACCATCGGTGATTTGTGGAACAACAATGGAGCAGTCTTAAATGGTCCCCCGTTGTTTGATGAACAATAGGAGGTTATACTATCTGTTGTACTGTCTGGCTCATTGGGAATTATCACCCACAATATCCCACAATATGGATACTTATCAATCACGCAGTAATCTGGGATGGGGGCAATCAGCATCTGATTTTCATCTAGCCATCCCAAGTGACACTTCTCGAGGCCCAGTTCACGCGCGAACCTGGGAGGGCCGCAACAAAATGAGTGTTGCCACTCCGGAGCCTCCAAGTAACCCCTGAGGCCCTGCTGATGATTTGCCACATCAAATGATTCAAATGCAATGTAGATGAAATAGAGCATGCTGTACAGGATGGGGCCCCAAAGATAGCTAAGTTGAGATATAAGTGGCTTAACTATGGTTTATGGTAGATATAAGTATAGATAATGGATGATATAACTATAGTTAATGGATGTTAATTAATGGGGTGTATAAACCAACTTATATCTGGGGGCCCATCCTGTATTCCAAAGCCGGTTTCTGAGGTTCCATCTTCAATTTTCAGGTGGACCAACCCTCCTCACAGCATACTGCATCTTCACTTGTCAGGGATGACTCCAGCATCAACTGGACATTGAATCTGTTGGGGGTAGTCCCCCCAAATTTAGCAGTAAGTCTGGGCAAGTGCTATACTTGGATCTGCAGGCCCCAAATAGGATCCGTTGTTTTATCTTGAGCTAACCCATAACTGTGTTATAATATGGTGCTTACACACTTACCCTGCCTGGGGCGGCAACCCCCCAACAGCATTGTCCAACACGTTGCCCCGGAACCTCTCTCGATGGCCGAAAAAAATGCACATCCCCAATATATTCCCATTGTATTTCAGTCAAGCCCCCATTACACCTCATTAATTCATCAACTTTTTTGGATTACCATTGAATTCCCCAGTATAATTCCCACCGTAATTCATCCTTAAATACCAGGTTGGCTTAATGACAATTATCCCCATCCAAAAAAAACAGTGATCCAGTGAGTGTAACCTCTAGTTCTTAACCCATCAGGGGTTAAATAGTTGGCACCTCATAAAATATATTTATTCGATTGGTAAATCCCATGGCAATCCCATGAAATAGGCTACGTTCAATTATTGCAGCATAAGCTCCAACACCATAAGCACCCTAGGATGTGATAGTCTTACAATCCCCTATAGGTTTCTCCAAACATGAACCTCTACTACTGTGACGGTGGTAAACCCAATAATAAACCATCCTACTAACTAATCACTAATCATTTGGTGGTCATTTTAGATCCCAAATAGGGGCGTTCCCAATAATAAACCCAAATTGGAAATGGTTTATTGTTGGGTTTACGGTTTACCTCACTAGTCTGGATAAATTATGGAGCTTAAAATCCCATAGTTCTACCCATAAAACTCACCCATGGCCACCCCCTAAGTATTGTAATGGCCTTGGATTCTGGTTCCACCAAGCCACTCCAAGGACACCAATGGTGGTTCGGACACACCGAAGCCCATGAGCAGCTCGGAGGCTAAGTCCACCTGTGAGGGGGAAAGGCACCTGGATTTCATGGCAGGCACCATGGTTCCTTAAGAGATCGACAGGTGGGAAATGGGGTACGGTATTACATCCCAAAACAGCTATTGAACATCATTCAATAGGGAAACTATGGGAAACTATGATGAACCAGTGCGGGACCGTGGCATTTCATTTGTTTTAAGATATCAAAGGGTCATTGGATTGGTTGAAGGGAACATTGAAACCGGAAACCACCCATATTTCATGGCCTTCAGACAAACCGAGATGGCTGTGGTCTCAAGAAATTCAACAAGTTACAGATTTTAATCCAGGTCCACATGTTGAGAAGCATAGATTTAGCAGCCTACCGCACGACTTTTTGCGGGTTAGAAATTGAATGATTAGCAGTGAAAAACACCAAGACAGCAAGACCCTCTGAGTCGGCCGCTACTTCCTGATTTTCCATCTTCGGATACTGAGTTTTCCTAGGTGCGCCATTGCCGAACGCTGGAAATGTCAGAAACACAATTTGATATGGAAGACTATCAGTTGCCATTTGATACAGTTATAGAATTTGGAACATGATCCTCCGAACCGATGTTTATTTGAATCTGAGTTTTCCAAGGAAACCCAATTTGATTATACCAGTGCAAATCATTGTAAATGGGTTTCAAAAAATGTTTCAAACCTACAAAACATGTTTCAAAATTTTGATCATCATCCCAAATAGAGAAAGTGTGTGACACCACCACTTGCTTTGCCATCATCCAAGTCATAAGGGCATACTGGGCATACCAAACTCCATCAACCCCCCAATGGGGGGATATAATGAAGGTTCCACCGCATCAAAACTTAGCCCGTAAGCGTAAAGCTCAGGTGATGAAATTTGGGGATGGTCTTGGATGGTTCCCCTCCCATAAACTAACATAGATGTGGAAAACCCACCATTTCAACTCATTTTCTTAGGGAAACCATGAGTTTCCCACATCTTTTTGTATGTTTACCCCAGGGTAGTAACCATTGCCAATCTTAGATTCGCAATGACAAACTGTGAGCTGGTCAGTAGATATTCCCTTTTTTTAAGCAAACGATTTCAGGTGGTCCAACTACCCATCCAGGTGGTTCAACCCAAGCCACAAGTGCTGCAAAACCGAGGCAAAGGCCGCAGCCGCCAGTACCTTCAGGCTGCTCCGCGAGGCCTCTGGTCATCAGCTCATGGTTTGCCCAAAACTCCTCCATGACTTTCCGGTAATTTGTTACATAGCTATTGAAAATGGCCCGTTGATAGATGACCTATTAAAAATTGTGATTGTCCATGGTTATGTACACGTTTACCAGAGTGTAGTTGGATGATTTTACCCATGGTTTCCCCATGGAAAACAGCAGGTCTTGGGTGCCGACCCAGTTGGCCGAAGACAGCGCGTGCTGTGTGAAGAGCCCTTCATCATTCAGAATCAGAGCCTCATCCGGCGACCTGTGCCGCAGGGGTCGCTGTTGGGACATCCCAGTGGATTGTTGATGATGGTTAAAAAAGTTAAGCCATTTTTTTGGTATCTGTTGGTGGGTTACATCCAGCCAAAAAAAAAAGTATTATTTCCATTTATAATTCAATGTACTATATACTATATATTATATATAATACAGGTCTAGGCATTGATCATGGGCTGTAGCCACGGTTCTGAAGCAGTTTTCTCACCATCGATTCCCCAGGGATTTTTCGTGGTGTGGCCTCTGCACGGGAAGCTCTTCGATCTCAGACAAGAACCTGGGAGCTGCACGACGTAGTTCAAAGGGATCGACCACAAATCTACAAGTGGATGGTTTAGAGGTTACCCTCTGGTTATGTCAAAATAGCTATTGAAAATGATGATTTATAGTGGATTTACCCATTAAAAATGGTGATTTTCCATAGTTATGTTAGTTCACCAGAGGGTACCCTCTTCCAGTGGATGATTATGGCATCAACTTTTTTGGGCTCGGCGCCTGAGATTTTGGGCCTGGCTTTTGGACACAAAGGGATAGTGACCATCCCAAAGGTCATTGTGGTACTAGCTACATATGTCGACCAAAACATACCACAATCTTGTCTTTTGAGAAAGCTGAGGGGTGATCCAGAAATGCTGTTTTTTTTCCATATCTATATATCTACATGTGTATATATATATATAGCCGTTTTTCCAAAGTATTTCATCTCCATCCATCACCCCATCACCCAAGCTTTTTTGCATGAAGCATTTCATTCCTCATCATCCATGGTGGGTTTGAAAATCAAACCCACCAGGTCCGGATTTCTTTCCGTTCGCCCCCGAAAGTCCATAGTTACATTCCGCTGTTAGGGGTGCAGTTGAGTTTGTAAAAGGGGCATACAACCATGGTATACCATAGTTATAGGGGGCCCATATCCCAACCAGGTTGGTGATGAGAAAGTAAATCCCATAGTTCTACGCACTAGTCTGGCTAAATTATTTAATAACTCACTAAGTTGAAATGTTGGGCTATTTTGGAACAGTTGCCTCTTACGTTCACCATCATTCCAGTGAGGTCGCAAGGTGAGGTCGTGATCAAATATATCCAGATATCATTTGATTAGAGTTTGTTGTAGATCCCATGATGCTCACATTATTTTGTTTATGGTCATTGAATCCTTATTGATTCATCCCTATGTTTTTGAATGGTCAATATTAGACCTATCCCATTGAATCCCTGAGTGTCATGAAAACATGGAGGTTTCCTGGGGGGGTACTGGTACCCCCAAATCATCAAGGTCATTAGACCATTTGAGTCTTGAAACCTATGGCTGGTTGATGGTTTCAACCTACCTACCCCTCCGAAAAATATTTTGTGAAAGTCAGTTGGGATGATGACATTCCCAATATATATATATATATAATATATATATATATAATATACATATATATAATATATAATATATATATATATAAATATGGGAAGTCATTCAAAATTCCATGGTTCCAAACCACCAACCAGATGGGATTTTGGGGATCCCCCACCCCGAACCTCCGTTTATCATCGTCCAGGAGGCGACTCCTCGGGCTGCAGCAGCAGCAGCAGTGCCCGGCCCTCCTTCCCGCCCCGTGCGGTGCGACCCACGCGGTGCACGTACTGCTGCAGGCTGTTGGGAGCTGTCATTTGGACCACCAAAGTCACCTGGATGGGCTGAGGTCGCCATGAAAAACGGAAGCGTTGTACCATGAAACATGATGAACAATGGGAGTTCACCATGAAAAGAGCCGGACTTTACCCAGTCAAGAGATATTATATTAGATCTCATATGAGACATATGATAATTTTAGCAATGAAGACTGAACATTTACTAAGAAAAAGTGGGCATTGAACCATCAATCTATGAGAATTTACCATAAAAGGATTCTGGGATTTAACCATAAATGGATGGTGATGTTACCAACAATAACAAATGTGGATTCATGGGGTTGAACTCCATCAACTGGGATTTAACTGCTTTAAAAAATGAAAAAACAGTCTTGAACTATCTTGAGCTAATCAATTCGAAAATCAATGTGTGAGGAGTTCACTTTGCAAATGCTGAAGGCGAGCCAAGGACAGCAAATAATGGTGTCAATGAATATGATTTCTCCCAAAAGGGCAATTTAGGAGCATTTCAACACCAATCTATGGGGACAAAAACAGCGATAATCCAGCTTATAGATTATGACAACCCAGGGCAATCCACAATATGTGAAGGATAGGTGAAACAATATGTCTTGATTATCAACCACCAATCATGTGTCATTTGTATCATCATAATTGTATATAATTGTGATGGTGAAAAACTGTTGAACTGATGTTTAAACCCAATTACTTTAGAATTTAGAAACTGATCAACCTGGGCTTTTGAACTGCTCAGCTGGGTCAGCAACCCCTTTTCGTTTGTGTCCAACCCAACATTCATCATTTACAGTAAGGTTTTCCCAGATTGGTATGATCCTAAATCTCCAACATCATAGAATCATCAAACATATCGGTGTTTTTTTTAGCACATCAATCCTAATTTTCAGTGAAGATCGATTCAATAATCCTACAATGTGAGGCCCCCAAGATAGCTAAGTTGGTTTATAACTCCAATTTCACTATGGTTTATGGTACGCAAATAACGAACTAGTTACTGGGGCTTATCTAACCAACATACAGGCTGAACCTCCATCCCCCCTTCTCGACGAGCTGCAGCCAAGGCACATCGGGATAGTCCATGCCCCGCTCCGACGCGGCCGAGGTGAAGAGGATCCCGCAGCTGGCAGCACTGAACTCCTACGCGATGGCTGGGCCCTGGGTGGGTTGGACTGACCGGGGCAGGAGATGAACTAAGCAATGGTGGTGGACACACACACACACACATATATATATATATATTATAATATATATATAGACACATATATGTGTATAATACCAAAAATGTAGAACGTATAATATCTACATAAATATATATATATATGATATTCTGATACTGATGATCATTGTTTATACCATGAACAAAGGAAGAAATATGACTGTTGACTATCGATCTTCATGTGTGTATGTTTCGCAGTTTGGTACATGAACTGTTTGGAAAACACATATCACCGGTATTCACCAAGAAAGATGCAGGTTTCAGAGCCAAAATGCTCCGTACTGATGAAGATCTGAGCCACAGAAATCTTGGACTCAATTTCAAACATGTATCTAATAATCTAACAGCATCGCTTGGGCAAACAAGCACGAGATTTGACCAAAAACACCTATCATTCTTCTGGTTGCCATTATCTCCGTCAAATCTCGAAACGTTTCCAGCAGGTGCCAAAATCCAATCACATTCACGTTCACATCTCATGCCCCTTGTGCACAACGTCGTGCATATATATATATATACAAAAGCTACCTATATATATATATATAGCTATACTAATATATAATACATATACACATCTCTATTTCCCTACCTATAATGTAATCAAACATGTAACATGGCTCAAATTTCTCCGTTTTCAAACAGCCCAGTGAGTTCCAAGAATTTCCAATTTTTGCCCTGTCCTCCTGTGCGATCATGCGAGCACTTGGTGTGCAACGCGCATGAATCTGGTGGATCCTGGGCAGCGAACGCTTGATGCAGCGAACGATCATGTCGTGGTGACCCGTTTAAAACGGCAACATTTACCCGGCCTGGTAAACTAACATGACTATGGAAAATCACCATGTTTAATGGGAAAATCCACTATTTCTATGGTCATGTTCAATAGCTATGTTAAATTACCAGAGGGTATGATCATTTTTGTCTTTGATCACAGTTCGATTTTGGGATTTTACCCAACAACTTAGGATAAGATAAGCCTTACAAAGAATAGGGATTTATGATCGATTCGCAGTATTAAAAAATATAGTTGCATTTGCGTTGTTTTTGCCAATGAAGCAAGAAATATCCTTTCCCAAAACAAGGCCTCAACTGAAAGCCAAAGCCAAAGAAGCAACCCCTAACGATCCCATTCCTCGAATGACCCTCTCTTCAGGAACCTGAAAGTAGATCCAGCTCCACGATGCTGAGAGAAGAACACTTCAAAATGGTAGTTAGAAGCGATCATAGACAAAAATCCGAACATATATACATATAGATATATATATATACATATACCATAAAATTACATTCATTGAAGAAACGCACTTTTATCTCCACTTTACTAAATACAAGGGGTCACCTTGTACGCTTCTTCCAATGCTTTCGGCCGTGCCTCATGTTGAGCTGCTCCTGAAAGAGCGTGGTGGCAAAGGCCGCCAGGCGCGCCGTGGGAAAGAAGACCATGACCTGCGACGTTCAGGGCGCACCCATCATAGCATGGTGAATTTGGGGATCCGATGTTGCTTTACTAACATTATTGATTATAATATATATATATATGATTATATGATTACGGTCATAGCTATGGGAAATGATCCATTTATGTATATCATTGTTAACACTTTTAATAGTACTAGGATGATTACTACTTTGTGAGTGCTACTAGTAGTAAATGGTAGTTGGGATGATGATTTATAGTTGCTTGTGCTATTGGCTTCTTTCTGTGTTGCTTGTTTCATCTATATTGTGATGGAGACTATGATGACAGTATCAACAACTCTGAATATCTCAAATAGAAACTGCAGTGCGTACGATTGAATATTGAGTTACTGTAAAACTACTGATTCTCACTTTTCTACGTTTCCTGTGTTGGATGCCATGCAACAAAACAACGTCAATTCTGCTTTTGCCTGTGCATGAAAATAATTCCTGGTTTATATCGCTAAGCTATTAGGTTATCGAACCATACCTGGATTATGTTACCTAGCCCTAAAACAATGGTTTTCCTTTCGGCGGATTCCCTCACCAAGCATAATTTCTAGGTCGACGAGGTTTGTCTCATTTCCTCTCGTGGATGTACTGACCAACTTTTCCAGAGAGTCATAACTAGTGCAAACAGGGGATGCCAAACAGCCGAGGAACCAAGAAGTAGCTACACAAGTGGCAACAAATGGACAGCATAGGGTTCACCAGCGAGCAACTGAGTAACAAGATCTCCATGGTTTCCGCCACGAAAAAGCTCATGCCATAGCTAGCTAAACCAGGGCAATAATTATAAGTGTACACAAAGCTACCCAGCCACAAATAACGTGTCCAGGTGTGATATTCCATGTTTAAGATTTGAGGTTCAAAAATGTTGTCTAACTAGGCACGAAACCTCACATATTTTAGTCATGTGATCTTCCCATTCACCCGTATCCAAAAACCTTGAACTTCAACCTACGGTTATCTGGTCGGGTTTCAACCCCTCTGAAAAATGATGGAGTTCGTCAGTTGGGATTTTTAAAAATTTCCCAACATATGGAAAGTATTGGAAAGTCATAAAATTCCATGGTTCCAAACCAATTATTATTCTAGGACAAACCTATGTCTCGTATCTTCAGATGGCCTTGTGGGACATCGGTTTGTCCTGGATCTCTGAGTCCAACACATTCCTGCAAGGCGCAGGGTGGCATTCCGCACCAAAACACCACCTTTTGAAGATGCCTATGATCTGTGCCAAGCATTTGATCATGATCAGAATACCTTTGCGACTCGGAAACTCACTGATCATCGTTCTGATTCACATTGGTCTTGCACTGTTTCCTTCGCAATTTTGGCCTTGGGCCTTCTCCCTTGGCATATCGTTATACCGGTGACACCACAAAACCAGCCCATCAGTGGGCTGGAAGGCTGGAAACTACTCCTCCGCAAAACCTGAAACAGTTCAAAACAGCCTAAAGAACACACCAAATTTCCCAGTCCCAGTCCCAGTTGCGGTGGGGGGTTGCAGGGATCATCGAATTTTATGAACTGTCAGCTCACTTTGGTCATGGCAAGGGCAGAACTCTCGACCAAAAATGACCCCTTGAAAGAATACACGAAAGGATTACCATTTCTGCAGCCTGTACAAAAACTAACATGTCCAAAGCTAGCACGGTTCTGATTTTAACATGTCACGGCCAATCTTGGATACCATGCCGGAACGTAGCTGGTTAGTATATGCCTCCCAATTTATAGCAAAGGATTATGAAGCACAACGCTACTCATCGCTAGAAACCTACTTGTTACTCCTCATTTCCCAATTAGACTTCTATAGGTCATTTTCCTAGGGGAACCATTGATGTTCCACATCTATGTTAGGGAAAACCCCATGGGAACGAGCCTTGGTCCACTGATCAGTTGGTCAGTTGGCAAACACATCCAAGCATTCATTGGGTTTCAACCCCAAAACCTTCATTTTGTCTTCTTATGCTGGAACCCACTCCAGACAAAGCCAAACCATATGAAGTTGGATTTACATACCCTCTGGTAAACTGACATAGCTATTGAAAATGGATGAAAATGGCCATTTATAGTGAGTTTTCCCATTGAAAATTGCCATTTTCCATAGTTATGTTAGTTTACCAGAGGGTACCCGTGAAAATCCATTCATATACGCATGATATCCCCACAAAATCCCATCCGATCTTCACTTTTGGCCCATCCGAACTCCTCAATGCAGTGCCCAACAAGAGGGGAGGAGCCGATGCAACAAACTGCTCGACCGCCTGGGGAAAACCACGGAAATGACCACTGGTGGATCTTCAATTTGGTCAATAGCAATCTTCTAGATTCAATGGTAAACTCTTATACACTTAAGGCATAAGTTAAACATTAAGTATCCAAAATCTAAGACATAATCTATGACTAGTAGTGGCTGGTTTGGACAAGTAGCCGCATCTATGACAAAGAAATGAAAATTTGTCTGAAAATAGGGTGTCTTCACATCCACTGGTTAAGAATCAAATTTTGGGATATACCTATTCATTATCAGACACACCCATATATTATATGAAGCTGGTCAAACATGTCTCATTAAATCACCAAATACCACATTGTAGAGTACAACACGGTAGTTCTTTTGGTCAAAAAAAATAGTTTGTTCAATTATGAATCATATAATGCATATTTGTATGCATGCATACATGTATCCACAGTGTGTCATCCTTTATTTCAAATATTTCTTTGGCCGGTCGCACTCCGGCCGGGTAACCGGTAACCATGATTAATCATTGATCCCATCCCCCTATGATTAAACATCCCCAAGGAAACCATGGTTTCTGGGAGGTGTTTAAAAAAAAGGCATGGGAAGATGATGGAAGTATATTAATTGGGATCTGATTACAACATATACTATCATATAATGTAAAACAGTGTGCTCTTCCATTATCTTTAGTTTAAGATTAGGGGAAAGGGTTATTAACCATTGTTAACCCTTATTATTCACCATTGAAACTCATCATTAACCAACAGTCACCTTAATTTATTGACCACTTCTTGACCCTTGCTATATATTGAAAATCATTATTAACCACTACTACCCTCTGGTAGGTAAACAATTATAACTATGGAAAATCACAATTTTTAATTTGTAAATCAACTATAAATGGCCGTTTTCAATAGTTATGTTAGTTTACCAGAGGGTAACCATTATTGATCACCATTCAGTCATCAGTATTGGTGAACCCACCCATGAATCCTTAATCATTCGTCATCGTTGGTCACCACTGTTAACCATCATCAACCACTAGTAAATATTATTGTCTCTCTTAAAAACCATTATCTCTCTTTAAACAAATATTGATCACTATCAATCATCATCATTTGGATCAAATAAAACCGCTAATTATTAACCATACATTATATTGACCATATTATTAATAACATTAATTAGTAATCATGTAAAAAAAAAACTATCATTAACCATTATTAACATATTATTAACATCTATTAACAGCTCTCTCTCTCTCTTTCTCTCCCCGTCGTCACCTCCAAAACTATTAACCACTATTAAGTCACTAAATTAAGTCACGATTAAGTCACTATTAAGTCACTATTAAGTCAGTACTAAGTCACTAAATTAAGTCACTAAATTAAGTCATTATTCACCATGATTCACCATTGATCATCATTATCCACCCAGGGAATCCTCAAAACTCCAGGGATGTCACCTCTCGGCCGCCTCCTGCGTCGGAAGGCCTTGCACCAGGTCCAGCCACTCGCAGCGCGGGCGGCACAGGGCGCCGCAGAGGTGACGCACCTGGCGCTAAGGCGACCGGTGGCACCGGGGGGGTGCCAAAAACGTTGATGGAAAATGGGTGGTTCATGGTGATTTGCCCATAGAAATAGATGATTTCTATTGATTTATGATGATTTACCTATTAAAAATGGTGATTTTCCCAAAATCTATAATGATGATTAATAATGATTTAATGATGAGACTGAGAATCAACGGTTTTTTTTCAGCAGAATGGTGACCAGAATGTGCCATGATTTTCATGAAAAATGATGAGAAATCAATGCTTAATGGTGATTAATGGTGATTTATGATGATTATAATGATGGTTCATGGTGGTTGATGATGGCTTGGCTGCCGGGGAATGATGGGCAATGATGATTAATGAGGGTTAATAATGATTATGGTGGCGATTAAATAATGATTAATAATTGTTCATGATGGTCAAGAAAAGTTAACTGAGTGGTGACCGTAATGATTCGAATTATGTGTGTTTTCTAATAGTGGTGATTCATTGTGATTCATGGAGAATGGTGGTGATTAATGGTGAAAAATGGCGATGAATGGAATTGCCCTCTGGTGATCAAACATGGCCAACTGGCAAAATCACGGAACTAAATTCTCAGTGAAATGGGACAATATGGGACCGACCGCGCATCTACAAATGGAAGATTTTCCCACCTTCAGTCACCTTAAACAGAAGGTCGAGTCCTCCATCAACCATCATCAATCATTGTCAATCATCATTAACAATGATTGATGATGGTTGTATATGATCATGAGCAATTAACATGAATGAACCATTCTCAATCAGCAGTGTCCAGTGAATCTCTTCTCCACACCTCTTGAGGCACGGTGGCTGATAGCAGCATGGTCTGACGCTCAAATCTTGGAGGTAAGAACTTTAGGAAAGTCTGCAGGGAAGCCTCGGACGCAACAAGGCCAACTGTCGGTGACAAGCAAACATCTACCCTCTGGTAAACTAACATGACTATGGAAAATCACCATTTTTTATGGGAAAATCCACTATAAATGGTCATTTTCAATGGCTATGTTAAATTACCAGAGGGTATCATGATTTATGATGCTTTATTGCATGTTAAGGGCAGGTGAAACTGGATTGTATTTTGGGAGAGTGGTTGCTTATTTTTTTCAGTGGGTTACTTGTTTGAGCAGGGTTTTACCGAGTCTCTTGGTGGTTCAACGGTAGTTAATGCGGGGCAGTGGATTTACGTGGACTTTTGGTGTCTGGGTCACCTTCCATGGATGCAAGCGGAACATGCGGGAAAAAATGAGATGCTATCTTGCAACAAGGGGGTTCCGGTATACTGAATCTGGGAAAACTTGAAACTCCAAAAATTCTCGTCATATGAAAATAAGTTCAAACTGCAAAACATCATAAGAATATGATTCTGCTGCTGTCATGATCTGTCATGGGAATGCTTATCATGCTAATGAACATCCACCACCATGTATATATGTTCACCATTGTTCACCGCCAATCCATTAAGGAACATCATGCCACAAAGCCACTTTTGGGGTGTCAATGTGAACATCCAGTTTTAGGCGGGTGACCCGAACTGTTCCCTCCGATTCTCAGGTTTCGGTTGATGTTTCCCTATGGATATGGGTCAACCTGGGGGTACGCCAAAAATGGATGGCCTAGAACGGAGGGCAATTGCCCATTTCGAATGATTTATATATATTTTTATATGGGATAAATCATGATACGCTCTGGTAATTTAACATAGCTATGGAAAATCACCATTTTTAATGGGAAAATCCACTATAAATGGCCATTTTCAATAGCTATGTATGTTTACCAGAAGGTAAATCTATGATCTCTGGAACTGGCTTCGATTTGTGGATTGGCTGGTCATGGTGGATCCCCAAACCGTGACACCTCCCTTTCTTCGAGTGTCTGCCCCATCCTGCCGCAGCAGTTCGTCACATTCGTCCAGGACCAGGATGGACAAAGCGTCAAAGAGGGTCTCAAAACCTGGAAGTGGCGGAGAGAAAGCATTTTTCACATTCATCTATTGTATATCATCTTTACTTGGAGATCTTTGAGATATACGAATATATGTTCATTAGCCTAGGAGAAATGGCATACTCAATAGTTTGGTACACTATACTAACAGATTCATTTCAGGATCCCTACATCCCTACATCTATGAGCTTGAATCACCATGTTTGTGCCTTAAATCTCTATAAATCCCTATAAATCCCGATAAATCTCTATAAATCCCTATAAATCCCCAAAAACATCCCGATGTCTTCGGCCAAATCGCTGCCGAAGCTCCACCGACTTTCGACTTACGCCACGCAACGTCGTGTGGCCTCGAAGTGCTCCAGCAACTTCCAAATGGTGCCACTAAAATGGCCGGCCGGCGCCGGCGAATGAGAGCCTCATCCTGCCGTTTGAAAGTTTGATGTGGACCCTGAGGCCGCCATTTCTGCGTAGATTTAGTGTGATTTAATGGATTCTTGGGGATTTTATGGATTTTTATGGAGTATATATGATAATATATTATGGTTACCCTCTCTGGTAATCTAGCATAGGAATGCAAAATCACCATGTTTTAATAGGTAAAATTATCTGTGAATGGTCCATGCCTTCCATAGCTAAGGGCAGTCAAGGAACCTGGAAAAAGGTTGTCCAAGAATGATGTTTACTAATCACTACACATGTGGCAGGGTTTCATGTTAAAGTTTGGCGATGCAAATCGGTTCAAAAGGTAACTAAAGTGTCAGACCATCTTTGGATGGTGCCCCTTACTAGCCATCTTAGTTACCATAAGTTTGTAGTTTTTCGCCGGGGACGATGTCTTGAGGGAATGACATAATCCCCCAAAAGAGGATGATTGTCTGGATGATGTTGCAGAGTGCAATTGGTATGATTTGAGGAAAAATCTGCGGGAAACAATTGTTTTTCCTCATCAAATAGGTTTTTTCCTGGAAATCTCCTGTCTGTCAGTATCACTGTATCACTGTTCAACCCGTTCGCAGTTGCCGTCCTTGTCCCTTCGGATGCCACCAATGAGGGGAACAATTTGCAGAGCGTGGTAGCTGCAGAGGGTCTCTGCATCTTTGGTAATTTGCAGCACCAACTCTCCTTGTGCAAAGACGGTAGCAGGTTGATGCTGGATTCAGGTTCTAAAATATTCCAATTTTTCAGGGACAACGACTCCTTGTCATATAATCATGTGGGCATCGTGTCACTTAGGGCGCTTGGCTCTTTTTGTTGAGCCCACTTATCCACTTGATCATCCCACGTCATGTCGAGGCTCTTGACGGGGCAAGGATCAGAACACCAACGCCCGGTGGAGGATTCTTGATCAAATGCTCAACCGCTGGGATGAGGTAAGCGAGAGTCTTGCCCGTGCCTGATGGCTTGGAAGCTTGGAAGATGGATGACTGGAAGGACTGATGGATGTTCTTTGGGGACTGGGCATGTGGAATTTAGAAAAAACAATATCAAGAAACTATGGCTATGGTGTATAACACACATAAATATATAATATATATGTATAATATGTGTATGTATACACATATATATATATACACATATATATATATATACACACATGGGTAATTAAAAAAACACGCACGGTGTATGCATATGAGATGATATATATATATATATCATATTGATATTATATTGTAAGAGTTCCCATAGATGTTTCCCTTAAACCGACTCTGGGAATGGCAATTTTGAGGTTGCACTATGTGATGCCACTAGTGATGCGGGGCTTTAGGATGATGAAACTCCCAACATTTCCTGACCAAGACTGTCCAAGTAAATGCGTTAATTCACTTAGAGGACATGCTTTCAATACCTGGTTGGTGGTATACCTACCCCTTCTGAAAAATATGAAAGTCAAATGGGAATTATTGTTCCCAATATGTTCCAAACCACCAACCAGATACAGATTTCCTAGTTTTTCCCCTATCATGCCCCCAAACAACGCATGTGTCATAACTCATAACCCTATACCTGACATCACTGGCCCTTCCAATGCTCTGAAGGTGGATTGCCCTCCTAAAAACCCACGCCTGCACGAGCATGAATCACAAAATCACTTCCTGCAAGTCTGGCAATTGGTGGGTGTGCTTGGTTTCTGGTGGGGGGGGAAGAATGAATGACATGGAAGATATTGCTTAAAACTGCTTGACATGTCAGGTCGTAAAGCACAAACCCCACACCACACCCAGTGAGAAAGCCTTTGAAGGTTCTCTCTATAGGGGACCATGCCTCCGGTGAACAAATACGATAGCTCTACATTAACCATCCCTTACATGGACCACAAAAACTGGATTGTACACTCCGTACACTCAACATGGATTAGGAATGTCATCTGGACCCCAGCAATGCTGGCCAGGTAAAACTCAGGGGATCAAAAACCCATGTGACCGGTGGATTTGATCCCAGTCCTGGAGCATCAGGTGCCAGAACCCGAGGCAGTACCTGCAGATACTTCCGTTGTTGAAGGTAGAATTCCTGATGGGAGCTGCACTATGCTGTGCCTATGATCGAAAACTGTAAGTAGGCTGACGTCTCCATTCTACGGAGCTGGAGTAGTGGGTAGTAGTCCGAATGTCCACAAGTGGTTGGCCAAGTATGGCAAATGTGACTGGAAGAACTCTGACAGGAATTGGGCTATCAAAATATTGGAACATGATTAGCCGTATCCTCCTCATCCATCTCAAATCAATCTTAAAATCAATCGTCATTTTTTTTTGACTTTCAATCGCCATTTAAGTCGTTGCTTCAAACCATATCCCCATTTTCGTTGGTGAAATCCAGTTCAAACATAGTTAAACTGACCATTTTCCTTGGTTATAAGTTATAACGCTTAAAAAACCATGTAAAACCCAGCATCTTCCATAGTTAAAACCTTTAAACCCACCATTTTCCCCGGTGAAAACCCACCGTTTTCCCCGGAAAAAACGCGGCGCTTCGCCGGCCGAAGGCGCCTGCGCCTGCACCTCCGTGGCCTCGGAGAAGCCGAAGGACTCCCGGAGGCCGCGCAAGGTGAGCGGATGCAAGGCCTTTTCGCTGAGCGATAGGCCGAGCTTCTCATGGTGGCATGGGATAGTATATAATATATACACATATATAATGTATATAGGTGTATATATATGTGTGTGTATATGTATATGTATATCACACACAAATATGTATATATATGTGTGTGTGATATATATATATATATATATATATAGCCATGGGTTGATGAAAATGAAAATAGATAGCCTCTAGGAAATGAACATAGCTATATGATCTATAGGATCAGATATGATTCACTATGATCACTATGATATCACTATGTGAATATCTCAACAGTTGGGGGTTGGATAGGTTCCACGAAAAATCAGCCTGATGTTCAGGGACAAACTGTCAATTTGCCAGAGGGTAAATAGTGAAGGTACTTAATGTCGAATGATATATCATTATATAATCTATAGCTGATGTATCACTGTATAATTATGATAAACATTAGATAGAGTCAGGATTGGATCTTGGTGGCTTATCCCATCTATAGATGGATAAGCCGCGTCATGGTTAGCAAAAGTTAGCAGTCACTTTCTAAGTGGGATGATCCTCAAAGTAGTTGGTTGAATTAAGGATAAAAAAAAACAACGATTGGATTTATGATAGTCATATAGAACTTAGCTCAGAGAAACTATAATGACTATATAATATAGTCATTATAGTTTCTCTGAGCTAAGTTCGTTAAAGTAAAACTGCTAATAACCAATAACCATTGGAATAACTGGATTTATGGTGTCACTATAATCAAACAGATGTTTTTTTACAGCAAAAGAACTCGGGGATCCAAACATCTCATGAGGAATTGCTGTGAATTGCTGGTGGATACCCCGCTTAAAATTGCCGTTGAATGAGGACATATTTTTAGTCATATTTTGAATATGACTTGAACATGACTATTGGATTCTGGGGTTCCCTATTCTGAGACAAATTTAGAAACACCCGATTGATGATGGATAGTAATAACCCTGAGTTAAACTTAGGAACTGATCAAATTGGAGGGTTTTCCATCTCAGTCTGAGAAGTTGATATCTTCAGAATTCCCAAACCGACCCAGTATTTTAAACAAATTACTAGATATGAAATTAGTATCTTAACATTCACAATGTATATTCACTTATATCAGTTATCTATATCTGTTGAGTCACTTAAGTAATCTACATATCTGTTGAGTGGGGGAAACCACCTATTTAATGAAGCCAATCGATGATTTGACCCGACCCACGCGTCACCGGCAAGTTCCGAGCGTCAAGATGATCAAATGTGAGGCCGCTCTTCCGTTGCTTCCTGGGAGGGTCACTGGTCATATGAGGGGCGAGGGTAAGACATCTAAGCGGATAAAACTTGGATTAACTTACTGTAGCTGGTTCTGTTTTGATTAACCAGCAAAAGCACAAGCGAATTGAGAGTTCAGGAAGGGAATAAGGATCAGAAACCTATGTGTCCGTCTTATTAAACCCCTTTTGGGGTTGCCTTGGGGGAAAAAGCATCGTGATTTACTTACGACACATGGGGCTAACCCAACCAGTAGGAATCGATTGGAAATGGACGTCTATGGGTCAACCGCCCTGACATAATTGTGGGCCAAGCATTGTCAAACCAGCTGCGTGTCCAAAATCAACTGTATCAACAGCAGATGGTTCCGCACAAATCTACCATCTTGCAATGTTTACTGGAGGCCATGCCGGATATGCCCCAAAAAAAGCATATCCGCCTGATCGGTGGCTTGATCCTAGCTCCACCGCTCCACCGTTCGAGATCAACGCCCCAGCCCTACAGTCAAAGCATCCCTGGCGTGGTAGCGGTAGCGGCAAGATTCCGACCAACGGAGCGCCAGGGCAACCTACCACGATGGCGAGGGTCGAGGGTCTTAGAGTCTAAGGATGCGACAATGCGATGACATCGGGCAGCTAGAATGATTGAAAATGTCCAACTGTCCAACTTGGAAATCAGAATTGCCGGTGTTGAAAGCATCCAATCAGCATTGTCCCCAGATGGTGAGGACGGAGTCCCCGGAGTCCCCACGTTGTGACATAGATAAACTGTGAATCCGGAGAGTGGCGTACATTGGGTTTTCCCCCTGGGTTGACACACGAGCCCCCTAAAGCATCCTAAAACGTCTTTTCTGTGGACATTGCCCCCGGAAATGCTGGAGATAGGAGGATGGAACAGGAGAATGGAGAGCACATAAAAACGCACAAGAATGATTACTTTATAACATCATTTAAACAAAACATATCATGAATAAAACATATCATAAACAGAACCCATCAAACGCAATGTTTCTTCGTTAATACGTTAAATCACCATTCTTGCTGGCTGAAACTGCCACTCTCAGGCTCCTACTTTGTCCCATGCCGCGCTGTCGCTCGAAGCTGCCAGAGACGACAGCGGCCAGCCAGCAGGGTCACCATCACAACTGGTGGGACGAAACCACTGATTCAACCGATTCCAATGATTTTCTGCTCAAATCTGCTACATAATCAGTGTAATCTGAATTGGATTGAATTTGGGTTTATCCCGCATACGATCGCACCTGAATTGTGATCAATTTAATCTGAATTGTGGTTTGTATCCCACAATCGCACCAACGAAGTGTTTCTTGGGCATATGGGTATGGCTCCAAACAGATCCAAAAAGTACCGAAAGTTGACAAACAGATCCAAAAAGTACCGAAAGTTGACACTAGCATGAGTTCCAGTGGTACTGGAGTTTTGAATACAACCTGAGATCCTAAGATCATAGGACCCAACCTGGGAGCAATCTACAGCTGCAGAGTGAGATCCAACGACAAGGTTAAAGTCCAAACGCCTGGTTCACTGTAGGGTCTGTGGCTGTATCCACACTGATGCAACCTTCTCACAAAGCCCCTTGTTCATAGCCCATTTCATAGAACCACAAAGCAGTTCTTCATAGTTTTTGCCATCAAACACTAGTCACCAATGGAGGGGATTCCTGCTACAAAAACCTTTATCAATGACCAAAGATATAACTTAACCACACATTTCCAGGATGGTATGGAATATAGATTATACATTATGAATTTACCCATATAAATTATAGTTATGTCTATACCAATATATAGATTATGATTTCAATTTCTCCAGAATTTCCAGATGTCCAGCTTGTCTATCTTTAGGGCTTTGCAATTCTGGGATGACAAGCTCAGCTATGGCATCAGCTGGAGCCTCTGGAATCTCAACAAATCTTAGTGTTGCGGCATTGCATCTTGTAGATGTAATTAGATGTGCAAATAACACAAAAAATAAGCCTGTCCTAATTACAGTATCTATAGCTTTTTACTATGGTTTACTGTGAAAAAAACCTCTGAATCTGAATCTGTTTTGGTCTTGGGGAGCCGCAGCTGGGCATTTTGACTGATCTTCTCAGGATGCGCCGACGGACGTGACGGACCTTCTGCCCGCGACGGTCCCGCTAAGGTGCGCCACATGGCTGGGATGACCCGGTTGGGGGTTGGGATGACGGCCAGGAATCTGAGGAATCTGTCCATGATGGCATGGCTGTTGGCTATGCTTAAATGCCCGGCAAAGCTTAGACTGTTGCAGCTTGAAGTGGCATGTTGATGTCCCTTGGTCTAGATGGAAAAGGAATCAAGCCATCAACTGAAACACGCCAAGGCTAAATAGCCAGACTTAGAGAGATTTAGTGTATCTCCCATCCATTTTCTTGACCTACAAGCATGGCTCCTAACCAGCCCAAATGCTCATTCCTTGTGAATTTTGGCGCCTGGTGAAAGATTGCCGTCCCAGGTCTCAGTTCATCCAGTCTCTCTAGGTCATCGATTCGATGTTCAACAGGGACATCAAGCAATTTTCAACTGAGAAATTCTCAATAATGGATGGTTGTCCACTGCTATGATGCACGTTGCTTTTTTGCGGCTAACGACGCCCGTAGCCATAACTGAAACCCGAAAAACACGCTGGCAGCGTGGATCACCGGCGCGAAAAGGACAGGCTGGAGCTCATGCATCGCATGGCTTCCCGCATCCATCCTGGATCACCGGTGACATGATACCGTTGCATCAATGCAATGATCACAAACAACACAGCAATAATCAATAATAAGTGTTGTCATTCTACAGTATGATACAGTGACTCCTTTGATGGTCATGCCTTATTCAATTGAACCAAATACATTCAGAAACACAATAACACTTGTCGTAATTTATAAGAGCAATATATATATATATATGTGCCTGTGATTATCATGCCCCCCAAACAAAATAAAAACTATGGAGGTGTCCTAAAATGGGGTACCCCAAATCATCTAAAAATAGACAATTGTAGTATGACACCCCACATCACTATACAACCTATGGTGTCCTATTCTAGTCCCATTCAACCCCTGTAAATCCCTATGGTTTGGGTGATACACCATTTTAAGGAACATTAATATAATAACTATAGTCATGACATGTCATGAACCACGAAATGGGGACTTACCAGGATTAGGAAGTGGTTATATACCCAGTATCCATATGGGGGTTTCCATAAATCGGGCTACCCCCAGTCATCCATTTTAGATTGGGATTTTTCGTGGTGAACCATCCAGCGAGCGACTGGGGTATATCGGGTTTTCAGGAACCCCCCAGAAAGATGGTGACAAATCACTATAAAACCTATGGTGTATTCTAGTCCCACTAGTCCCATTCAACCCCTATAAACCCCCCCATAGAAGGTCTTATAAGTTGACAAAATCACCATAAATCACCAAAAACCCACTGGGCAAAGCTCCGGCAAGTCGCCTTGTGTTCCTTGTAGAACTTCTCCTGGAACTTCGCCACAGGAGAAGCCCTCAGTGAGGAGATTTGGATGGGAAAAAATGTGAAACAAATGGAGATTCCACCAGGAAAACCATAGCTTTCTGTAGATTTTCCCTTCAACATCTTCAACCAATCCAGTGATTCATAGGTTTTTTCCACACATGTTGATTATATGTTCATAATTTTCCAGAATGCGATGGGAAGATTTTACAGGAAAAAACCTGTTGTTTATTTGAAGAAAAAAGGTAACAACACCCGATAGTTTCTTGCAGACTTTCCCTCAAACAATCCCATTGAGAAGTAATTTGAAGTAACCAAATATGGACAATCTCAGGATTTGTTGCAGCGGTTTCATGTAGGTTTGCAAGATCCTTGATCATCCAAAAAGAAGGCAATTAAAGCAACAACAAGGAATTGCACGGACAACAAATGAAAGTGGGCTTTTGCTGCTGGTTTTGCTCGGGATTACAGTACAGGACGCGAAACAGAACAGGAGTTCAAGCAAGAAGGAAGATTCATGCATATCTCTCCCCAGTTTTGTATATGGGTATGGGTCAATACCTAGAGATACCATTTTTAGTGGGATGAACATCCATTTACCAGCTATTTTGATGTTCACCAGGGGTACAAGGTTTTGACACACTGCCATATTGCATTCTGGATATTCCATAATATTCTTACACAACAGCGGTTGGGCAGTGGTGGATGTGGCCCATGACAGCCCCACACTTTGGACATGCTGTCAGTATGTCAGCAGCCCAATACTGATCATCTCATGTGGTCTCAAGGGTAGATTTACCCTCTGGTTATGTCAAAATAGCTATTGAAAATGACCATTTATAGTGGATTTTCCCATTAAAAATGGTGATTTTCCATAGTTATGTTAGTTTACCAGAGGGTATATATTTCCACTCATTTTTTCCTGAAATCATAATTTATTGTGCCATTGGAAATAAATCACCCATATAATTCAGAAATAAGAAATACTCATTCTGATTTTATGATCCAGAAATAGATGAATCCGAGGTAGATCCATATATTTCCACTCGGGTGCGGAATTTTTTGGGGATTTTTTTTTCTTGTTTTGGGATTATTTTTTTTTTTGGTCGTGGGCACGGTTTCCTCACTTTTTCCTTGTTTTCCATGACTTTTCCTTGGTTTTTCATTGGTTTTCCTTCATTTTTCCTCACGTTTTCCTCGTTTTCCAGTATTTTTCTTTGGTTTTTCATAATTTTCCTCACTTTTTCATCGTTTTCCATTACTTTTTCCTTTGTTTTTCATCATTTTCCTCACTTTTTCATCGTTTTCCATTATTTTTTCCTTGTTTTCCATGATTTTTCCTTCGTTTTTCATTGGTTTTCCTTCATTTTTCCTCACTTTTTCATCGTTTTCCACTACTTTTCCTTAGTTTTTCATAATTTTCCTCACTTTTTCATCGTTTTCCATTACTTTTCCTTGGTTTTTCATCATTTTCCTCACTTTTTCCTCGTTTTCCATTATTTTTTCTTAGTTGTTCATTGGTTTTCCTTCACTCCCCTCACTTTTCCTCGTTTTCCATTACTTTTTCTTTGGTTTTTCATCATTTTCCTAACATTTTCTTTCCTTCCTCAATAAGAAAACAGGAAGGGGGTATGGAAGAGAGGGCTGAGGAGGAGCAGTAGCGTCCACTCAGAATCAGCTAAAGCGTCTTCCCAGGCAACCTTATATACAGATATATAGATATATAGTGGTATATAGATATATAGATATAATATATATATATATAGATATAGATATATAGATATATAGGTATATAGATATATAGATATATAGATATATAGATATATAGATATATAGATATATAGATATATAGATATATAGATATATAGATATGTATATATATATAGATATAGATATATAGATATATGTATATATGTATATATATATGTATATATAGATATAGATATATAGAGATATATAGAAATATAAAGAAATATATAGAAATATATATATATAGGGATATATATATATAGATATATTATATACATATATAGATATATAGATATAGCCATAGATGTAGATATAGATACAGATATAGATAGATATAAATAGATATAGATAGATATAGATAGATATAGATAGATATAGATAGATGTAGGTATACATGCATGCACTAATCATGACTATATGCATATGTAGATCAATGTATTTACAAGTGTAATCAATATATCTGCCGGGTTTGGTTTTAGGGTTGGTTTTAAGGTTTCTTTAGGGCTGGTTTAGAGTCTGTTTAGGGTTTGTTTAGGGTTGGATTAGGGGTTATTTAGGGATACAATATGTACATACAAATAACTATACTTATGTGGACGCATATGCATGCACATGATTATTTACAGTTTATTTTGGGATACAACATGCACATACAAATAACTATTTTTTGTGGACGCATATGCATGCACATGATTATTTACAATGTATTGGGATGAAAGCTGTGTATATAAACAACCATATGTATATATATATATATACAATATAAATATATATATATAGTCTAACCAAACTAGTGTATTGAAATGTGTGCAAGTTTGAATTTAAATAAAAAAAAGCGGGAGGGGGGGGATTGGGGGAGAGGGCGCAGCGCCTCCCCCCCA